CAATAAATAGTGCCCGATCAGGAGGATCAAAAGTTTCTCCATTCAAAGTCTATAAGTGTTTCTTATACTCTTTAACAGAGATTGGACTATGATCCTTTCCTGTTCTAGAATGTCCAATCAAAGCTTTGATTCGACAGCTTCAGACATCTCAATTGACCTGAATGTTTCCATTCAATTTTCCATTCAATTGACGTCTGTTTCAACTCGAGTCTTCAACTCTGATTCTCCGCCAGTTTAGTCATCAGCTGGAGCTGGAAATCGACTTCGTCATTGTGGCTCATCAGCTTCTACTCCGCCTTCTACTGTGGAGGAGCCAGATCGAGCCAGACTCTTTTCAAGTTCATTAACATGTCACGGTCCCATCAGCACCCCGAACCATCCCAGCATCCCAGCATCCCCCACTCCCAGTTCCGTTCCTGAACTTGAAAAAGTGCAGTCCGTTGACACGCCCCCTTCGGATGACAGAGCCCTTTGTTGGGAGACAATATGGTTCGTATATCTGTATATAGTATATATAGAATGGTAATGGTATAGCCCCCAACCAGATTGATACTCACATTTTGTGACAGCTTCTTCATAATTCTGATCTGATGTTTGTTGTGTTTTTTTTTTGTAAGTTTATAGACTTTTTGTTTTTTGTTTGTTTTGGATTTTAGAGTTTCTAATTATTGTATAATGTCGAAACTAAACGTTTGCTTAAGTACTGTTGTTTGCTGTTAAGTACTTTGTATAACACAGTTTGAGTTTTTTATTAGCCCTATTAGGTTTCTTAATTCTTAAGTTGGTCTGCCGCAGATGTTTTCATAATTGTGGATTATCTAAAAATGTAAATATATTATAATAATTATTTGTGTGTGTTTTCCCACAAACTCCAATGTTTAAGTTCAGCTTTCTGGCTTGATTGACAGCACTTAATTCAATTGTAATCACTTTTTGACAAAAAAATTACACGTTATCATGACTGATTGCCGCTGAGCAGCCGATTGACAGCAATCACTGATCAAAGTCCCATGGGTTTGACATCTAAATTCGCCTTTGGATACACATATCAGTGTATTCCTTATATGTGGATATGCTAAATGGCATTTGTTGTAACATACCGTCGCAAGATCGCTGATTGTCATTTATTTTTATTAATGTTGCTGCTGTTGCTGTTGCCGGCTACTGCTGTCGCTTGATTAAAATCATTTATATGCATTGAGCTGGTCCAGGAGGTGGTGAAGCCGAAGGAGGCGGAGTTCAGGAGGGGGCTGCAACAGTAGCAGGGCCCAGTTGGAGCCGCTACCGCTGCCGCTGCTGATGTTGATTTATTTAGCCGGTCCGATCGCTTTGCTCGCTGCATTTAAAATGTCGGAAGTGTTTGCACGCAAAAAATAAATACAAGCATACTGAGAGCCACATGGATATGGAATATATATGCCATATAATGTGTTTACTTATACACAACCATGTCATACATAATGTGTGCGAGTGTGAGCTTGTGTTTGCTCAACATAAAATATTTCCTGTTGCACGCACTACGCCGCGGCATAGACGCCGGCGATTTTATTGAAGATTTCGAGGAAATGCCCAAGACATAACATTAAATTCCAAATCGGCGACGGGTAGCAGCGCAGCAATAACAACAACAACAATAACAAGTCTCAATTCCCATAACCAATATCCCTTCTTCCCTGTTTTTTTTTCTGTTTTGGGTCGCCACTTATGACATCATCGCCGAATCAATATCGGTCGAATATCAACGAAAGTTGTTCTCGTTCGGTCTGATTTTTTTTTGGTCTGTGTGTGTGGCGCACCCTTGACAACACCACACACAGAATGGCCAAGAAACACTCTACACAATCCAGTCCAGAAGCCTGTCCAGAATGCTGGAACAATGTCCGAGTCAGATTGCTGATGCGGCAAGGTGGCAACATTGTGCGAAAACAACAACAACATAAGTAGCTGCATCAGCAGCAGCAGTCGGAGAAGGGAAAACAAAAGTGCCAGTCAGTCAGTGATATGGTCAATATCCAAGAGATACTACCAACAGCAGAAGCAGCAGGTAGTTCCCGTTTCCAGGCTTGGCCTTTTTGGCTGGCAATTCGGTCATCTGACCGAGACGGCCGAGACGAAAGACTAAAGATTACAGATAAGCAATTGGTATTTGGGTATTGGTAAAGCACGCCCAGTTTTTTTTCGATTTTTTTTTCTCGGCTTGATACTTCAGTCCTCCCCGGGGGTTTTTTCCTCAGTCGTGGATTTTTGAAACGTCTTTTTTCGCCGTCTTGGCCAATCAGTTACATGCAACTTAACATATCCACGCGGCATTCACAAACGCATAAAGCTTATAATTACTATTTAATGTTTCCTCTCAGTACTTTTCCACACACGAACACTCTGATCCGATCTGATTATGTGCAATTTGTAGCGTTTATATGGTGTTTTTGTTTCATTTTTATTTTTATTTTCATTTTTTTTTATTTGTATTTTTTTTTTGTGTAATTTCGCTTGATTTTAATTGCTGCCAATCTTGAAAGCTGCTCCAAGTTCGAGTTTGGGTTTTGTTTATAATTAAACGTTAACGTTTATTACATTTTCGTAATTCTGTTTGTTGTTTGGGGGAGACTTTAGGTTCGACTTCTTTTTTTTTGTTTTTTTCTGTGCTGGGCACAGACCGGCACGAGGCTACAGGTCGCACGGTTTGCTGTTGCGAGATACGAGTTGCAGGTTGCTGGTTGCTAGTTGCAGGTTGCCGGCGGGCGCGACGCGAAACGTGGATACGGATACTCCGGCTACTTCGGCGATTCACTCACTGCGATTATAACCCAGAAATACTGCGATTGGCACTTGATTCTTATTTATGGCCACACACAATTTGCATTCGCAATCGAAATCGGAATCGGTATCTGAATTTGTATCTGAATCTGAATCTGGCAATCTAAACTGGCTTGGGCTGATGGTGCGCTCGGTTGATGTTTACTTGTTGCTTCGTGTGTAAGGACTACGGCGCACTCGACGGTAAAAATGTATTTTATATCTGTGTCGGCGGCGGAGCGCTGCTCTCGGAGCGCTTGCGACTGTATCTTTGTATCTGTATCGGCGGTGTTGCGTGCTGCTCTGGGCCGATCCGTCTCGGTTGTTCGGCTGCCGACCAATCGATGTTGCCGCAACATCCCGATCGCCCGATTTTTTACGTTGGCAACATGTTATTGCAACAATGTTTCTGAAACATGTCCGCGAATATTGTCCGTCTCCTTTCTCTTTCGCACGATTTTCCATCTCTTTTCCTGTTCTCTTTTTTTTTTCCGCCCACGGGGATTTCCCGGATAATCTGGCCCTGATGAAATACTTAATTGCCAATCAATGCAATTACTTCTCTACGTAATTGCCGAACAATCTCCATTGTTTTCCACGAGACCGGGAAAATGGCACCGCAGAACACCCCACGTGGGCATGCGATGATTTGGCTTTTTTTTTCCCAACCGGAACTGTTCCAACATAGTGATACTTTGCCCCCAAAAATGTGCATATTTTACTGATAAATTACTTCTGGGAATATAATCCGCCATGAGAACTGCTAATCGGATTGATAATAATATTCCACCTTGCTGGAAATTGCGTAGATTGCACTTTTTGTTGATTAATCTGATTAGCCGTAATTCATGATGCAAGTACACCCTTTCAGCCCCACCGGACATTCCCATTCCCATTCCCACGATGGTTGTTATTAAACAGAACCGAATCGAATCAATGCCTCATTTTGGTCATCGCCATATCGGGTGATCCATTTGCATAAATAAAACGCTACGTGGAGCTGGGACTAGAGGATCCCGGGGGTACTTTACACCTGTACCGGTACTGTCACTGCCCGTGACTCATGGTCGTGTCTCCAGATAAACTGGATTTCAAACGGAAAAAAACCAATCAACGGAAAATTATATATTTGTTAGATGTTCTAATTTATTTTATTATGACGCGACGAATTAATTCATTTGAATCTAGAGTTATTTTTGGAATATTATTACTAAAATGTATTTAATTGAATTTCGATAAACGCAGTATGAGATTACGCATTAAAAAACCGAAATGTTTTTTTCATTTACGTCTGAAGCTATTTTTAGAAAATTACAGAGCAATTATATTTTTTTTCGTGTCATAACTATTGCTCCGAACAGTAGGCAACACCAAATTTTTTCACGACTCAGTAATTCTATATATTTATAAAAAATATTTAATAAAAAAACAAAAACATAATTAAGAAGAAGAAACAAACATAGTTTCCCACGCACTGATCGGGGAAAAAAAATTAAATAAAATGGTTGACACAACCCGACACATCACACACACACAAACAGACACTAACACACACATACAGATGAGCACATAATGGGGCACCCATTACAGATTTAAATGGCGGAACCGGAAATTGCCTCAAGAGATTCTTGACACATACATGTAAACTCGTTTGAGGATTAACTGACACACTCGACTTTAACTTGAAAAGTGAAATGCTAATAAATGAAGGCATCCGATTAAACGTACATTATTTGTATAATGGAGGAGATCACAATATGTATGTATTTTCGAAAAAACGAGGCGCGTTCAAACTACTGACCTTGTAACAATTTCTTTTTACACGAATTTGTGCCTGTCATTTGAGTTGTGTCAGAAAAGTAATGCAGGGCCAGGGACAGGGACAGGGACAGGGCCGTCATTATTTACGAATTTAAAGTACTTGGTCGCCCCAATGTTATTAACCTCCAAGTGGGCCAGACCCGATACGAGGCGATACGATCCATTATCCGAACAAAAGCTGAACTTGTAAAAAGGGTGTGACACTCCGCTAAATCCGAATGCAAACAGTCAACAAATGAACGAATTTCGATCACAGATCACTGAGAAAAAATCACAGGATCATATTGCAAAGGATTAACTTTTAAACACGGACAATAGGTATACTTCAATACTTTAATAAAAGTGTAGATTATTCTTTGAAATTTCTGGAACTTGAGGCTTACCTTAGGCGCTTGTTTCGGGTTTGGTGCGAGTTTCTCAGCGGAGTGGGCCACCCAAACTTTCAGATGGGTTATCGCACCGGCGAGGGATCCGGTGGTCGGGTGGCGAGCTCTCTGGACTGGGGGTTGGACTGGGGATCGGCCGGGGGGGATGGTGTGCAGCATAAACGAGTTTCTTGTGTGATTTAGGCCCGCGGGAATTCTCTGGCACTTGCGCTTATCGCCATTTTGTATGGATTTTGGTCAAGTCTTTGTGTTTGTTGTTGTGTGTGCACTGATAACGCGTCACAGGGGGCGTCATAAGTGGGCGTTCCCGTTCAACTTTCTGGTGGAAAGCGAACGCTGCAATCGCCTGCCTTCGCCCGGGCTAACCCCTACGTTCGCACGCCCACTTCACACTTCACACGACCTCCCACCCACACCCACACCCACTCCTATGGTGTGTTGGCTGTCTCCGCACCGCAACCACCCACTGTCCACTCTCCACTGCGGTTCGTGCGTGGTGGAAGCGAGTGAGCTGACCAGCGAGTGACCAAAGCAAAACTGGTGATAATCGCAGACAAACTGCGACCAATGAATGGAAATGAATGGGAATTGTCGCTTTGCTTTGCTGTTTGTTTGTTTGTTTGATGTTGTTGTTGCTTATATATGTTGTTGTTTTTGTTGTCGGAAAGTGATCTACACGCACTGGACCGAAAGAGAGCACACACTCACTCCCTCTCCGCTTGGCTTTTAGTGACACTCAGTGCCAGGAGACACGACACGACCGCACACACACACACGCACAGATCTTGGGGCATCTTTGTAAATATATTTCCACATAATTGACACTCCGATTTGGATGTGGATTGGACATTGGCGATGTTGCACCCGTTTTTTTTTTTCGTTTAAAGCCGCATTCTCACATTCCCACTGATTATTCACAATTATTTGCGTATTTAATTAGCTTGGTTTTCCGAAAATATTTGTGATCTGCACACACCAAATATTGGGGTACTATCTATAGACGCCAATGGGGCAAGGAATCAGCGGCAAGGATTTTCCGGCGAAACTGAAGAAAGAGGAAAAACCCCAAACCGAATGAGAATCGAAAGCAGACTAACTGCAAACATGAAATGTCAAAATGCTGGGGACCGTTCTGCCATGCACACTGCCACACACACACACACACGTTTACATGTGTCATGTGAGTGGACGAGGGTGGATAGTAGAGTTCAATAAAGTGCAATATTGGGAAATATATGTGGATTACATCAGAATATATTTCGTAGTGTATATCATTACATGTCTTAAGCCTTTTATATATTTTAAGAAACTCTTGTATCCACCCTCTCCTGATATATGGAACGCTGGTTGCTCGAAAGAGCACGCATGTGCCAGCGGTTTGATTCGTTTCGTCTACATGTGTATGTGTCTGTCAGACAATGCGGCCCCAAATCTTTCCCACTCACCCCAACCCACTACCCAACCCACTGCCCACCTCCCGATGCCCCGATCCCCCCGTTGGAGGAGACAAGCGCCTCTAAGGGGTCTTTAGACGAACAAAGGAAGTGGCCGAGGGTGATAAGTCCACATCCACATCCACATCCACTTCCAGTGGCGCATCACGGTCGTTGTATGTATATCGGGTTATCGGGGTGCTTGGCCCCCCTACTGCCTGCATTGATCGTAAAATCGACGCCCCTGCTCACTGACGCTGGCTTACCGTGTCACGCACTCACACACACACGGCCACTAATTGAAATTGAAGAACTGTAACTGTAACTGTAAGTCGAGCTCTCGTAAGGAAAACGTGAGCAGAGCATATCCGTGAGAGGCAGAGAGAGACCTCTCCCACCCACACACACATACAGCAAAAAGTATCTGTTGGGTTGAAAATGCAGAAGAATCTACAACTCTACAACTTGGAGTTTAAGTTCGACTTCCCGCAAAAAAAAAAGTGCTATGTAAGGCAAATTATTGTCCATTTCCGTTCTGTCCATCCGGCTGTCTCCGCTTACAGCGAGAATGGAAATCCAATAAACAAAAACAGATACTAAATAACTTAAACCCGGGATTAATGGTTATGGAAGTTGGACCTGGAATAAAGCCCTCCCAAGACTCACAAAGTAAGCTTGTTCCCAATTTGATTTACGAGTATTCTGCAGTTACGCTTAGCCCCCGGATCGTATATCAAACAAACGCTGATTGTTTCTTATAGGTATGTGCACATGAATATATCATATTCAAGTTTTGTCTGTAACACTACAAATATTACGTATACGTCGGCGTGTCAACAAACTTGTATAGTAATATGGCGCAAGTATGATTCAATAATCCAGCCCCAGCCAGCGTTGCTACCGATTGAAAACCGTACATATATTAATTGAAAATGGTTCTCTGACAGTCTCTGGATGTATGGTAATGAAGTTACACCATGGACAAGGTTATATAATGGACAAGTGGCAGACGGCGGCATGTGGCTAGAGCTCCAGCTAATCCAATCCCACAGCAATAAGAAGCCGCCGGTGCACCGTTTGCTTGACTTTGACCGGGTCGGCCAATTTGCCATATAAACTGCAGCTAAGGCGAGCGGGCTAATTGCCGCTTTCAGATCTAAATGAGTGGCGCACACGCAGATGATAAAAAATAAAAATATTCGCGAGCCTCCAGCACACATTGTAGGGAAACACTAGGCACTGGCAGACACTACACTTGAATTTAAAATTAAAGGCAAAGAAAGTATATCAAGTTTTATATTTTCTCGGGCAAATGCTATTTAATTTCAGTGTAATCCCATCCACGAGCACTTTCACAGAGCCTCGCAAAGGTCAAAGCGAAAACGATCTGCAAATGTATCTTGCAGATGTATCTCGGTTCGTGACTCTGACTCGTGATGGGCACTTAGGAAATCCAGATATAACCGATGCCATTTAAAGTCGCTTAGCCCGAGCGCAACATAAATAGCAATTTTAAACTATTTTCAATTACCAAATGCCCGAAACGTTGGCTTCCAAACTCGTTTCCTCAGCCGCCCGTTGTAATTGAAACTGCATCTATTTTTAGATCCAGTCCGGCTCAAAGCCAGACACCAGCTTAGAAAATTATTGCCAAAGCCAGGCAGTCAAACTCACACAGTCACTCGATTCGACCGCAAGCGATCAATCGTACGATCTTAGGGTTTATGTTTCTTAATTCCCACGTACTCACCGTTCTGAAAGCCCTTAGCCGGGTTGAGACGGGTTATCGGAAGCTGCAACGGATATTAACCAGGCCGGAGACTAGCACAAAACTCTGTCGATGCCAAAATGTTTGCAAAACTTCTGGCCAAGGCGCTTTTATACCACACACCAGCTCGCATCCGAATCCATCAGATACTGGATGCTGGGTATATGCGATAGGGTTTGGGGTTGGTGGCGGCAATGGCTATGGTTTTTGCATAATATGCGGTTCGTATTGGCTGCTCTGCTGCTGATTACAAAGAGCCCGGAGACACACAAACTCAAAGGGAACACAAACTAAACTCAAGCCAAGAAAACTGTATAAATTATACGATTGTGTCTGTTTTGGTCATATGATTATGATTACGTTGATTAAAACGCGCTCTTATCGTCACTTGGCCCGCTGCTGTGTGTTAATGTGTGTCCCATGCCGAGTCCCCGCCATCCAGATGGGAGCATCATCATCCGCCCCGTACGCCCATCCAATTGCAATCGCGCATACGACGCGTTGGCGACAAGAAAGGACAGCCAAATGGATGCTTCACTAGTCCCGCCTTTCAATTTGTTCACAAAAGGACGTCGTTAGGCGGATGGATGATGAATTCATTATGCACATCGATATGCGCTCATTGAGGTCTCAAGGCCTCGGGAGTGGGCAGAATGGACCCTTCTTTTTATGTCCTTACAATTACTTTTCAGAAGTGAACTATAAAGGACTCATTAAAAAGGAGGTTGGTTTATAAAAATGTAAACTTCATTTAGTTACTTTTTAAATTATTTTATTAAAGGCCTAAAATATAAACTTTCCTTTGCCATGATGACCATGGCCATGTCCGTGCTCACTTCCGCCAGCTCCGCCGCCAACAACCACAGGCTTCACCACCACCACGGGCTTTACGATTACGGGCTTCACGATCACGGGCTTCTTGGAGAATTTCGACAGGAGTTGACTCGGATCGGGAAATGCCGGCTTCGGCTTAGAATGAAGCTTGGCAATCAGCTGGCTGGGATCCGGTTTCGAAAACTTCGGCAACTGGGCCAGTAGCTGGCTAGGGTCCGGTAGGGCAGGCTTTGATTTTTGAATTGTGGGCGTGGCTAGGACTCCCACGCAAAGGCAGCAAGCCGCGGCCAGGAGAAGTAGGTAACTCTTGAGCAGATCCATTGTGAGTGTGATGGCTCAGAAATAGAGGCATCTATTTATGGTGGATGATGCTCCACTCCAGTGGACAGGCCTCATTTGTATGCACCATGAGCCGCCCGATCTCGGCGAGCTTTTATTCAAATTTCCACCAACCGATCGATGTATCGAAACTCTTCAGACAGCAGACGGCAGGCGGCATTACTCGGAAGAATTCCCCGAGTGTAGGCTGAATTCACAAGTATGTGGCAGCGGGGCAGGGTTTTTCTTCTCGTAACTCTGCGCGACATTTATTCATGATCGAGCCCTGGCAGCAGCACCACCAGTAGCTGCCGTAGAACTTGATTCTGATCCGAGTTGGCATTCAGCAGGCGATTTTCGAGATTTAATCAGACATGACGCGGATCCACAGATCCAAGACCCGCATTCGAATGCCTCATGTGTGCCGGCAAGAATTGACATAATTTCTGATTTACTTCGAGGCGGAAGTAAAACTTTAAAACTTTGTTTTTAAAGTAAAAAAAAGAAAAGATTGGAAGTAAAAATAAACTTAAAAAAATTAGCTCAAACATTAAAGTTTTTAAAAATTTTAAAAATTAATAAAAATAAAATTTAAATAAATTTTAAAATAAGTGATAATATAATATAATATAATATAACATAAGAATAAACAAATCTTTGTAAAATGTATAAAATTAAAATTTGAAATAAAATTTAAAAGAAACGCCTTAAAGAATGCAACATAATTTGAACTACCTCCCATTTCACCTATCGCTTAACCAGATATCGATAGACAGGATTCAGACATTTATCATAATTTTCCATCCCTAACAAATAAACGCATAAAAAAACGATTTGTTTTGCAAACAGAGCTAATTTTATCAAAGAAAATAAAGCTGCCAAAAGATATGGACGACAGCGTTATATTGCTGGACGACACGCCTACTTGTTTGGAAATACCTGACACTGATGTAGAAGATGGGGAGCTTGAAGATGACGTAGAAATCATTCCGCTCGAGAATGCGGTCCCAAATGAGACCACCTCTGCCGCCAAATCTGAGACTGAAAAAAATGAACAAGTGAGTAGTTCTTAAACTCCACACACATTCAAATATAAAAAGCTGAATCTTATTTCAGGAAACTACACCAGAAGAATCGAATAACCTGGTTTTCGAAGTCAAGTTTCGGACTAAAGCTAATTTCAAAAGTCTCAAAAGACAATTTCTTCAAGTTCTGGGGACCATGTTTTGTGATAAAAACTTTGATTTCAAGACAGATTCAAAATCGCTTGTCATATCGGCGTATGAAAGGAATGAGATCTCAGAAGAAGAACCATCTTCCCCAGCCCCGGACCTTGCAGATCTCTTTATGATTGACACTCAGCCGGCTGAAAAACTGATAGCCTCTCAGGTGCCCTCGTACAAGCGCTGCAACACAGATATTCTGGATGAGAAAACGGAGGACCGTAAAAAGAAAAGAGAGGAGGCTGTTAACAAGTGCTTTCGGCCCAAAGCGCAGTCCTCGTGCTTCAACTGTGGCGACACAGATCACTCCCTGCGCGAGTGCCCCAAGCCAAGGAACAATGCTCGGATACAGCGTGCACGCAAAAACAACAGCAACACTACGAAGCGGTATCACGTGGAAACGGCACAACGTTTTGGCCACATACGTCCTGGAAAAATCAGCACTAAGACGCGTCATGCCATGGGCTACACACGGAGACAGCTACCCTTTATGTTTTATCGCATGCGGGTGCTTGGATACCCGCCAGCCTGGCTGGAGGAGGCTCGGGTTCAGAGCTCAGGCATAGCTCTCTTTAATGCAGATGTAAAATGAGTCAATTACTTTACTTTATTTGTGGATTTAATTGTTTTCTGTTCAGGGAACCGAAGTCAGCAAGTCGGACGAAGAAGAAGGCGAGTCCGACACATTTAAATACGATATCAACAAAATTGTAGAGTATCCCGGCTTTAATGTTGATCCCGGAGACAAATATTTTGATGTAACTATATACCTCACTATAAACTCAATTACATAATCATTAATATAATACTTTCAGGACTTTAGGCATCATAATGTGCCCCCTTACCAAGAATCGAACTCCAAGGAACATTTCATCAAATCGCTGGGCGAGAACGTGATCAACGGTTACCGACGCAAGAAACTGGTGGATCTTCCTGCGCCGCACGACGAGGCTACCTCCCCCGCTGAGGAGCCGATCAGCTTAGGCGAATGCGATATGGAAGTGGTCGATGAAGCGGAAGATCCACCACTGCCGCCGTCAACTAATCTTCCACCTCCACCGCCACCACCTGCGCAGAACGAACGCATGCCTTCGCCAAGTCTGGAGGATTTGAAGGTTCAGCAAGAAAAGCTATTGCAACAGCTGGACTCCAATACCTCGTTAGATACAACGGCGAATGATTCAAAATCTTTGATTATTTTGGATTCCTCAACCGATGACGTAGAGTCAATCGCTATACCCCAAACGCAGTCAGCTCCCCCGACTCCCACGGGTACGAGACGACCTAGTCAACCTTTCAAAGCCTCATTTGAGGGCACTCCTGTGCTGAAGTTCTCCGTATATGACAAGCTTCCGGTAGGCAGCAACTTTAAGGTCGGCGTCAGCGATGTCATAAACTTTGAAAATCTACCCGACTCTACGGGCAAATACGAACAAATGAAGGATCTTCTGAAGAACGTACGAGATAAGATGGACAAGCTGCAAAAGGAAACTTGACGCTGAAGTGAAACCTACCGACATCATCCATCCCACCAAACGTACAACCATAGAGATTTTAAAAATACCATAGTGCTTTTAGCTTTGTACAAATAATACGGCCAATACAAACATTTGGTTTTTTAAAGTGTATTTTCAAAAATTTTGACTTACTTAAGCCTGTGTATCTCTGTGGGTGTGTGTGTAGTGTTATTTTGTACAATGTAAATAATGTATATTTTGTCTAGTTTTTTTAATACGGCGTGCGCAAGGATTTCACCAATTGTGTATGTTTTATTGCTTTGATTCTGATTCCATCCCTTCTTGTAGTCAACATATATATTTTTTTTGATCAATTACCGCGGAAGAAAACCTAAAGGAAATGCAAGTTGCGAATTGTGATGGAAAAGCTCAAGCTCGGCATCTGCGGCATGGGTCCTGGACGACCTCTAGTTGATGGCCGGCGGAGGAGGCTGCGGTGACGGCGGCGAGCCATCATGGTTATTATCGCGACGGCTAGTCGGCCTCTTGCTGCTGGTCAGCTGACCCCAGGTACTTGGATTAAAGATGTACATGAGCAAGGCCAGGACCATGAACACCATTGTGATGGTAAAGCCGCTGTTGTCGTCGCCTCCAGCGCGCTGCTGCTGCGGCATACGTCCACTAACTGCGAACGGATAGAAACCATTAGGATTTGAGGGAGGATTATCCACCTCTTGTTATTTAAAGGATTAATTTTAAAAATCCTGAAGAGATGGAATGAACGAAATGGTATTCAATTTTAATGAAAAAAAAAAGTTTCAAACAAAATATCATTAGAAGCAGGCAGGTTTTCAATTCCTTATCAGTTTTTTTGTTCTAAAAGCAATTCTTGGAAACCCATTATTTAGTTGGGAATAATTTTCGATCTTTCATGAATGTGATTTCCTTAGAATTCCAATACTCACCGTCGAAGCACTCTGTGTCCGTACAGGCATTCTGATTCTGGCGAATCTAAAAGAAAATATGCATATAGAATAGTAAGAGTGGCTAAGGAGCTAGTTAGTCCTTGGCACTTACAAAGTTTATTAGCCTCTGCATCGCCAGTTCGTGCGACCAAACGCACTCGCAGCCATCGAAGTCGTCAGACATGGTTTTGGGTTTCTGCCGGGGGATTAGAGCTTGAGCCTGGGTTGCGCTGCGGAGAGTCGAAATGAAAGTTGCACTTTGTTTATATTTGTTTTATTTCGTTTTCATATACGGCAACTGGCAACTGACGTGTCTTTCCAGCGGCACACACATATGACAATAAAATGAAGTGTTTTAAAAACGAAACGTACTCAGCTGAGACCGATTTATTGTATTATTTTTACCAGACACTGGCCGTAATCGTTCGGCTATAGCACGAAACGTCAACTCCCTCCACTACTCCCCTACTAGGCGTCTATATTTTTGCACGATTCTGATTGCTGAGCCGAAAGAGAGAGTCAGTTTCGCGGAGTGGGGATGGGGAGGAGGGAAACGAAGCTTAGAAATGGGGCGGTCCATTGTATGGGACTTACTTTATCGCGATTTTTTCAAAATGGAAAATTGGAATTTTGATTCTCGCAGCTCGCAAATTTAACTGGAATCGAATCTCCTCTGACAGAAAACCCCAAGTCAAAGTGAGCCAAAACAAACCCAAACCCTCAATATCCCCAATTAATAAAGTCCACCCCAATATTGTTTTGGATGTATGTATGTAATGTGCAGTAGTGGGGCTTATGTGTATGTGTTGACATTAAAAACGACGATTATCAAACCCGAACAAGTTTTAATTTTCGTTAAAACACAATTGTTATCAAATATATTACTGGGTCTTTCCGCTGGGAGTACAATTTACGGATGCCAATTGGAATTCTGCTCAAACTACGATAAGAAACTATACGAAAACGTAAACACAACTTGACTACTTTGTTGTTGCTGTTCCAATGGAAGGCGAAAATGGTAAACAAACAAACGAACGTTGTGTGGTTTATGATTATTTCAATTTTAAAAGCACATCATTTATCACGTTTTATTAGTTTTGAAGCGCTTTTTTAACGTGTTTATAATTAAATTTAAAACCGTTTATACCTGCACCGTAAAATGTATTTTCCTGGAACTCGACCGTTATCCAATACAGGTCGAATCAGTTAGCCAACACTGCCCGTAAGACTGGAGGAACAAGTGTGAGAAAACGCAAAAATATTAACAGAACATTTTTAAAAAATTAAAATATCTTTTTTTTAAATTTTAAATTATTAAATTTATTTAATACTGACGGCTAAGAGTGTGACGGGATTTATTTAACCTTAATTTAACCAGAAAGCACAATATTTTTGTCGAGTGATTATCCTTCCATGCTAAGAGGCACTTCAATAAGAATGAAGCTTTGTTTCTTAGCTTCCGGTAATTATATATAAAAAGGGGTAAATACCAATTAAAAGAGTCTTCTATCATTAAGTGAATTTGCAGAATTATGATTTAATTAGCACCTTCAATAAAACTATAAAAGCTTCGTCCTTTTTTAATTCCTATCAAAAATGTATTTGTGGTTACTGTGTTTAATCTTTCTTAAATATGTCGGGTCTTCAGGCCAAGGACCTATACAAGCAATTCAAAAACTTAACAACGCCTATAAAATGGAGTTAAATGTTTTTATAGATTGTGACGATTGTCTTCGCTCCCAGGATAAAAGTATTTTTCAAATTCTGGACACGCCCAGAATACTACTTACGAAAAATACCGTTGAAAATAATCGTATTTATGGAAACTTTACTGAGAAAACCCTTTTCATAGTTTTCTTTCCGGAAACCAACAATTCACTAGATCCTTTGGTAACTAACCTGCTTTCCAAATTGTTGGACAATCTTCATGAACTGCACTTGGTTTTCCTGGCTGCGGAAAACCCCAATGAAGCTTGGAAAATGGATCTTTACGCATTCTGCTACCAAGAGGGCCTAATCAACGTAATTTTAATACATCAAGAAAATATCTACAGCTACCTGCCATATCCGAAAATACAGCCTTACAGGCTCGCAAATATTGATGAGTACTTAGAGAGAAAAAGGATTCTGAGAAATTTGTGGGGCCTGCCCATACGAACCGTTCGAATTAATACATCTCCAGGAGATTTCGATTATCTAAGCAAGGATAATGAAACGGAAAGAGCCGGAACTCTGTTCTTCGCCTTAAAGGAGTTTACGGATCGGTATAACGCCACTATTCTAGGTGAATTACTACCACCTCTTCCAATTTTGGATATTTATGTAGCCCTCTCGAATAGGCTATACCGCAAGGAGCTCGACGTGATTTGTTATCTAAAGGACTTGAATATTCCTTCACCCTACACGAAGCCACTTTCGATCCTTTCTGAGCACTTCATAGTTCCTAATGCCAGACCGATTGGAAGTTATCTGTACTATTCGAAACCCTTTCAATGGACTCTTTGGTTGGCCGTTGGAGGAACAGTCGTTTACGGGACCCTGATGCTTTATTTAATCTCCAGAAGAATTGGAATCGAATTTGGACAGTGCCTTTTATATAGTCTAAGTCACATACTATTTACGGGTCATACTTTTACCAGCTCAACGGGTTGGAGGGTTAAGGTGGTTCAAGCTATCCTTGTTCTTGGAGGTTTTATACTCACCAACCTCTATCTGACCACGTTGTCCAGCATCCTCACTTCGGGGTTGTATGAACCTGAGTATAACACCCTGGAGGATCTAGCCAAGGCACCATATCCCAGTCTGCATGACGCTTTCTACGTGAACGATTTAAAGTCGAAGACCTTTCTTCCAGAGGCTCTTCGCAGAAACGCCATTGACCTACACAATAATACTTTACTTTCGATATACCGCGATAGCCTGAATGAAAGTTATATGTATGTCATGTACGAGGGCCGCAGGACACTGAACCTGATGCAGCAGAGATTACTTAAGACTCCCCGGTTTCACACAGTTCCGGAACCCATAGGCTTTGCCCTGGATAGCATTCTGGTGTCCAGGAGCTTGCCATATCTGAATATTCTTAACCAATTTATGAGGCGTCTTCAGGAGCACGGAATTTTTATCAAAATAAAGGCGGATGTATTCCAGGTGATGATCGAGCAGGGTATTCATACCCTCATGCGGGACAATGAACCTCCGGCGAAGCCATTTGACTTGGAATACTACTTCTTTGCCTTTGCCTTGTGGGGTGCTGGCTTAGTCCTGTCACTCTTGTTTTTTTTGGTCGAAATTCTTAAGATTTCATACAAAACTCATTAATAATTGGCAATATTATATTTGTTTTCAACAAACTTGATTATTCATCTTACACCTAAAAATCGCTTAACAAAAAAATAAAATTATTTCTATACACAAAGCATAAACCATCCAGCAATCCATGCTTATGAAACTAATATCCTTGGCTGACTAATATGACTGACGAAAAATTTCTAATAGCGACTGCGACTTAAGCCAAGTCGTCTGGATTTGTTTGGTGGCATGCAAATGGGCGACATATCCTCTACATTCTGTTGCAGCTTGGTGGCGTCCTGCCTTAGGTTTGTGTTTTTATTGGCTAGAGGGGTGCTGGTTGATGCTGCCATCGGTGCAAATCTGGGCTTTAATGGGGTTTCGATTCCATCAGGTTCGGAAGTTGTGCTGTTACGCTTTCGCCTCTTGCTCAGGGTCAGTAAGTTACGACGGGCTATCACTGATGTCTTGGTGCTGCGATCCAGTGGCGAACGACTTGCCAGCTGCGTCAGCGAAGCGTGCATCTCCTGCGATTGGCTGGGTGTAGCCAGTGCACTGTTGCACGAGGTGGTCCTGATTAAGTGGCTTCCTGGCTGCTCTTTTTGGGAACAATTTCTGGGAGTACCCAGGCCACTGTTGCACGAGATGGTCTTGACTAACTGGCTGCCACCTGGCTGCTCCTTTTGCGAAAAACTACCACGCCGACGCTTGCTTGAGGGGATGCCGTCAGAGGTTTCACGACGATGTTTAGGGGTTCCCACTCTTGAGTCCGACAGAGGCACATTAACTTGCGATTGCCTGGGAAACACAAACTCCTGAGGTGAGTCATCTTCTTGTATATCGTTGTTTGGGAAGCCCTTGAATTCCTCGCCAGATAGTTCATCTGACACGTCTGAGGGGCACTCAATATTGCTTACGATATTACAGGTATCTTTAGTGGTTTCTATATTCTCAAATGGCTCTACTTGGACTTGAGGCTGTTCTTTATTATTTTTTAATTGACTACTAAGAACATTTGAACTGCTTTCTTGAGCTTCAACTTCAGCAAATAACTTGGCGGCTTTCTTTTTCATTTCTTCGGATACAGTAATTGACTTATTTGAGGCAGTTCTAAACCCGAAGAATTCACCTTCAGCTGTTATTTGATTTTCATTAACTTGGTTTTCATTGGCTTGAATCTCGGCCATAAACTTGGCAGCTTTCTTTTGCATTTCTTCAGATACAACAATCTTTTTATTCGAAGCTGTCTTAAAGCCAAAGTCCTCATTATCTTCCATTGCTTTTTCGATATTTTGTTGCTTTATTTCACCGGCTTCGACCTCAGCTATTAGTTTGGCAGCTTTTTTCTTCATTTCTTTTGTTATTTCGATGGGTTTATTTGAGGCTGTTCGAAAACCAACAATCCCAGATGTATCTAAAGAACGTGACGGACTAGGCTTCCCCGCTATCACATCAGCCATCAATTGATCACCCTTTGTTCTCATCTCTTGTGAAATTTCCATAAACTTAAAGGAAGTCTTATGAAAGGCAACGAGCTGGGGAATAGTTGCTGATTGGCTGGTGTTAACTGATGTATCAGCGGGAGCCTCAGAAGTGGATGTATGGTTGTCTGATGTTGTAGCTTTAATTTCCATATGATCTGCCTTATCTGTGCGGGTGTCAACGGTATCGGGGATATCTAAGGGCTCCCATTGACTAAAGGCTATAGTTTGAAGGAATTCTGTGTCTGCAGCCAAAGTCTGTTCGTTTTCCTCCTTGAATTGGGCAAGAAACTTGGCTCCTTTGCTTTCCATTTCCTTGCTAATTTCAATGGCTTTGTTTGATGCTGTTCGAAAGCCAACAAAGTCGTCAAGTTTCGCACTATTTCCATCATCACTTTTCTTTTGTGGATCCTCTGCTTCCAAATTAGCCATAAAAGCAGCAGCTCGTAGTTTAGTTTCCTCAGAAATTTCAATAGCTTTGTTTGATGCTGTTCGAAAGCCAACGAATTCGGGAATTGTTTCAGGGTCCTCATTGCTGGTATCCTTTCGATGCTCTTCTGCTTCGAAATCAGCCATAAACTTAGCAGCTCGTTTTCTTGTTTCCTCAGAAATATTAATTGCTTTGTTGGAAGCGGTGCGAAAGCCCAAAAACTCTGGAACTTTGTCAGATTCTTTAAAGTTTTCCTGCTGAACTTCCTCTGCGTCCAAATCAGCCATGAGCTTAGCCGCTCGTGCTTTTGTTTCCTCGGAAATTTGAATTTTTTTGTTGGAGGCAGTCCGGAAGCCAACAAATTCGGAAGCCTCTTCCGGCTGCCATTCTTCAAGAGGAAATTCCTGCAAAAATTGTGTATCTGTGATGTCTTTGGAGCAGCCTGATTTAGCAGTTTCATCTTTTGCAGATTCTTTAGATTCTATATTCGTCTCTTCTGGAATATCCATTGGAGTCTGCCATTCAGTTATTGGGATATCATCTAACAATATTTCATAGTTTTCTGATTTAATCTCAGATGGTCCAGTTTTACTTTCAATTTCTTCGCATTTATCATCTTTTAATGATATTTGTTCGGTGTTTATGCTTTCCAAAAAGGAATCTCCCTCAGACCAATCTTCGCAGACTTTGGAATCTGTGTTTTTGATACTTTCCATTCCACCAAAAATAGTGTCACCTAAAGAATAAGTTTTAAGTTATAAAAGTAATTTATTTGTATAAAATAATTACCTCTAGGTTTTATATCACAGTTTTGGGAGGCCTCAAAGGTATAGTCGCTTTCCAGTAACTCATCTCGGAGATTTTTTAATTCAATAGCAGAATATTCAACCGAAGACTGAGTATCCGACATAGGGCTTAACTTTTCTTTGGATCCCGAGGAATCCTGCAGGCTGGTTTCTTTTTTAGATGGAAGGTCTATATTTAGACATTTGTTGGATGGTGTATTGGGATTACCCAGGGAAAAGTATTCACTTAGATTCAGCAAATTCTCACAAATTTTCTGCGAAGTGTTGGCATCTAATTCGCACACCGAAGTAGTGGCCGGGGTTGTATAGTCTTCCTGCACTGATAGACCCGAAGAACAGCTTAAGCGATCCTCCTCCTCCTCCACTTCATATTTAAGAGTAACAGGTGGCGGTTCCTCTTTCAGAATCCGCCTCCTACTGTAGGTTTTGATTTTTTTATGTCGAAATCGAAACCAGGGGGAGGTTTCAGTGGCAGGTTCATGATTCTCTTCAAAGTACGTTGGCGAGGAACAGAAATCACGCAGGATCGATTCGGCGATCTGCTCTCCAGGTGTGGGCTCTGCTTCCATTAGGAGCAGTTCCTGGATGGTGATAAATCCAGTGGTATTTTCCATAGCCGGCTCTTTCCCTTGAGCCCTTTTAAAGTCCACTCGGTCTGCATTATATATTTCAGCGACTTCGGCGGCTATATCTCCCAATGTGTTAACCTGGAAAATTATACATACATATATTGGATATAATTCTTAAACATTTTAAAAGAATCCCATACGCCTACCCTACCTGTAGTTTCGTCTGATAAGACGCTGTCCTTGACTCTTGATGGAATTCATTACTGATATTGTGAGAGCCTTTCGCCTGTCCCTCATGTGGCTCCATAACGCCCGTAAATAATAGAATCTATTGCATTTTAAATAATAAACAAACAATCGCGGTGTTATTGTTTCATTTCTTATCAACGTTATACAACACGCAGTATTTATTAGCACTATAGAATTGGTGTTGCAAAATACGGCGAAAAATGGAAGGCAGTGTTGGGAAACTAAGCCGATTACTTTTCATCAAAAACAGTTGCACCGTTCACAATAGTACGTAAATTTGGAGAAAGGAAATAGCCACTTTTATTGCTAATTTAAGCTGCAATGAATTGTTAAATTTGTTTTAGCATCGCGGAGTTCACAGGCAGCTTGTTAACTGAACGAAAAACGAGGGAAATCCCGGAAAGCAGCGACTGCCAAAAGTGAAAGCCCCCAGAAAAAGTACAAGAGAGTAAGCGGAGAGACGAGGTGGCGAAAAAGAAGAGTCTGGGAGAGAAAAACGATTTTTTCAGAGAACACCGCGAATTGTGGAACGGGGAGCTAAAACCTGGTGAGTGAATTTTTGCGGTGTTTCTTGGAGCACTCAATTAACAGAAACGTTGGAATTCCAAACAGCCAATAAGGATTTTAAGTATCTGCTGCTACGAAAACGGGAGGCTCACGGACAGCGCGCTGCCGAAGATCGTCAAAATTCACGGGATTCAGGGGATACACGGGAGTCAGCACCACCACGCACCACCTTATAGCACTTTACTAGCCGCCACCACGCTCCACAAACAGCCAGCCATCATGTTCGTCAATTCTATGACGTTCCGCGGCAACCCGGCGAACTACCACCAGCAGCAGCCGGCCCTAAATCACCACACGCTGGCCGCCGCACACCATCAGCAGCAGCTGCATCACCATGCCGCCGCTGCTGGGCACCTGGGTCACGTAGGCGGTGGCCATGCGGCCAGCAATCATCTGGCCGCTGCGGCTGTCCTGGGAAGGCATGGCCACAACTCGCTGGGCAGCGGCCACACATCCAGCTCCTCGCACTCAACTGGAGTGGGTGTGGGCGCTGGAGCTTTGGCCAGCGGAAGCAGTGGCGGCGGGAGCAGCAATAGCTCGCCAGATAGTGGCAAGATTTACATCAAGAACCTGGAGCGGTCCATTGATAACAAGGCGGTGTATGACACGTTCTCCGTGTTCGGGAACATCCTCAACTGCAACGTGGCCAAGGACGAGGATGGCAATTCGCGTGGATATGGGTTTGTGCATTTCGACACGGAGGAGGCTGCCCGTGCGGCCATCGAAAAGGTGAACGGGATGCTGTGCAATAACCAGAAGGTGCACGTGGTGAAGTTCATTCCCAGGCGGGACCGCGAGCAGGAAAAGGCCACGCACTTTAAGAACCTGTACGTGAAGAACCTGGGCGAGGAGTTCACTGAGCAGCACTTGCGGGAGATGTTCGAGCCCTACGGTCGCATCACCAGTCATAAGGTATGTTTGAAGTTGTTTGTCTACGTGTGGTCACCTTCCCTCTCGCCGGAATGTGTGCGGGGTGTGGAATGTGGGTGGGTGAGAGAAATGCAGATGGACGACCATGTGGCACAGTTTCTCACGCACCCGGTGCTCTTAGGTGCGCTCTTCCCTGTTTTGGTGCGCATGCTCCCCGCATGGAGCAGTTTCATTAAGGGAGGAGGAGCGTACATGATTGCACTTGGCCCGCCGAGAGGTTTGTTTATTTCGCAACATCTCATTGATTTCTCTGATCCTGGCAGCTAATGCTCGACGACGAGGGACGCTCCCGCCGTTTCGGATTCGTAGCCTACGAGAATCCACAATCGGCGCTGGCCGCCGTGATTGGGCTTCACGGCAAGCAACTTGGCGACAACAAATTCTTGTACGTGGCAAGGGCTCTCAGCAAGGCAGAGCGGCAGCAGGAGATCAATCGCAAGCTGGAAGAGCGTAAACGCCAGAAGGCTGGTCAAATATTCTACTATTAGGCCGGAAATTGGGCAGCCGATCAGGGGAGGTTGCGAGGAGTTTACGCAGCACCCACATACATACAATATATACACACACATATATAAAAACCTATATAGATATTTACAAGAAATTGTATCGAGCAGCTAAGCGAGAATTCAGGCAGCCATCAGGCAGAAGGGAAATTACACAAAATCCTGAAAATTGACATTTAGACGTAGGCAAAAAGAGTCGCAACACAGTTGAAAGATTTATGGAGGCACCCACAAAACACGCAAAAACTATAACTAAACAGAACTCGAACTCTCAATCGGAAGGATTTTCTAGACATTAGGACAACAGTTTCTTAGCACTCACTAGCGTTTTTTTGGAATTAGATGTTTGTCTTTACTGTTGAATTTAGTGAGCAGAAGCTTTGGTGTCAGCTTCTCGCTTAAAACAAAAAACACACACACATATATTTCATAAACATTATGTAATGCCCACACGCGCCCAAAATTGAAACACAGGCTCAGTGGCGTACTTGAGAGTTGAATCGAGCGATATATGAGTCCTGGACAAAATATGCATATTTACACATACCTATATATTTAAACAGAACATAAAATTGATGTAACCCTCTATTAACAATTGATGCACTCACTCTACGTATATACATATACATATATATATTTAATGTAAAACCCATTACACGCTGTAGTTAAAAAGCGTTTATAATACTCACACTCTCCACGCTATAACTAATACTTTGACGAAGGAATCAAGTGCAACACATTGCGAAAGCGAACCCTACACGTAATTTATATGATAGACGCAAATGCGGAATATTAATGAAGAAAGGAATATGTCGGAGCTGAACAGAAAATATGAAATGAAAATAATAATAGGCAGGAGGGCCCAACTGAATCTCCTGTGGTCAGTAAATGAGTATTACAATTTTAGCAATTACAAGACATTTTTGTAATTAATTGTACATTGTTTCAAGTAGCAAAACGAAGAAAAGGAAACCACAAAACAGGATCGTAAAGACAGCAGTAATATAACGAAAAATAAGAAAAAACAAAAAACTAATTGAATGTAACCAATCCAAAATGTGTACACAATGCAATGTTTAACATCTTTTTAGAATATTATTATTGATGGCACGACAAAAAAAAACTAATTATTAAAAATAGTTTGAAGGCAGGCATATATACAAGTTCGGCCAATGGCAAATTAACCCGAAAAGAAAGCAAATACATAAATAATTTAAGATTATTGAGCTTAATTTTTAAAAATGTTTCCAAGAACAACAAGAAAAATAATAATAACTTGAGAAAAAGAAAAAACAAAATATTAAGAAAATCAATGCTAAACTCACTCAAAATTTGTGAAAATTCAAATTTTGCGTCTAGACATACACATGTATAGTTAAAAAAAAAAAAAAAAAAATACAAACAGTACCACGAATGAACAAAAACGGAAATTACATAAAATAGTTATAAATGATGGCAATATTTAGGATGGCATAATTAATGTAACCCCTCATTTGACAATATTTATTTTGCATTATATTTCATTTTGCGCTTAAGTTATTCCAAGAAGCAACCTTGATCCGGAACAGAGATTATGATTATATAGTTACTGGACAAAAGTAGTATTAGGCCTTTCACACTAGAACTCACACGCAGACACATATGCAATATGAATTTAAAAAAAATGAAACAAATGAAAATTATGCAATTGAATAATATTTACACGAAATGTACAAAACAAAAGAAAAAGAGAAAGAAATTTGATTTTCCTTTGCTAAGCAAATGCGACATACTTCTATTATTATTACAAATTATAATTGTAATTGCAACTTAATTTTTTGGTAATTGCTTTTGCAGAATTTACCTAAAACAAATAAACGAAGAATAAATGAAAAACAAATTCCCCTTCCCCCCCCAAAAGAATAAGTCCCTTTTATAGTGCTAAATTTTTAGAAAGTACAAGAAACGTTATTTCAATCTTACAAAATTATCTGATAACTACACGGAAGCGAATCCCATTTCAAACACGGAAACACACAATTTTGCACATTTTCCAAATAAATCATTACCACACACACCTGCATTCGATTCCAAGGACACGAATCCTTTCTTATTTGTTAAAAATTGTTTGCTTGGACCCAAGAAGGTTACATTTTTAATGAATAGCAAAAAAAAAAGAAACCCACACAAGCACAGATAATACTGAACACAGAACGGCGTATAATATATGCATTATATAAGTAATTCCATTGAAACGAAAATCCTAATTATAACATATTACAAATACCTACTTATTAAAAAAAAAAACTTTAAAAAACCAAGCGAAAATGAAAAGGAAAATAAACAAAAAACATTTGATGATGAAAATCAAGATGCAGTGAGCAGAGAAATGTGAAACTTGAATAAAAATGCTTTTGCAAAAAGTGTTTAAAATTGCGATGTGAGTGTATTATTATTGATGTTTTATCTTTGCAAACGATAGTCCAATTTTATAGAGGAATTGAAGGGTATCCTTTAAAAATCCATGGGAATGACAATATGCCTCTTCGAGAGGTCTGTATCTTTGCAACTAGTCATCCGATTTATGCGGAATACCTTTAACCAATCGTACCTTAAACCTTTAACTTCCAATCTGCCTCATAATTACCGACTCATTTTTTTTTATATTTTGTATTTTTTTCTGGGGGATCCCCTTCAAATATAATGTAACTACAATATGATTCCATGAGAGGGATATTTTTTGGGAATAGTCATCTGATTATTAAAAAATATTCCTTGCCAAAAATCATCTGATTGCAGAATGAAATTCATATCGATTTTCTTTAAAAATTTCTAAAAGGTACCAGGTATACCATTTTGTTTATTTTTGTTTAATAAGATTTTGCAAATTGACAACTTTTTAATTTAATATATTTCATTTTAATGATATTTGAAGTAAAGTTTCTCCAACAAAAACACCAAGAGACTAAGGAGAGTTCCTCCAATGTAGGCAATCCAGACGTACAATAAGTCCTCCCAAACTAGATCATGGTAAAGCTCGTCAGAAATATCCGAGCTATAGTTAAGCTTTCCAATGGCAATGAGTTCGGAATAGGATCGACGAAACCACAGATCGTACAGACCACTCTCCAAGGTGTGACTCAAGTACCTATTGAAAACATCGCGATATATAGAGTTTCTGGCCATGGGCATGGTGACCGGCATGAACTGTTTAAAACTTATTTCGTTTGATTTGCGAAAGAGTGGGCGGTGAAGCTTGATCTGCTTCAACTGCAAAAGTGGCCACAAGGTGTTGGTAACAGGATAACCGTAGGAAGTGTTCAGTTCATTCCTTTTGGTAAGAAACTCCACCGTAGATGGGGTGATCTCAAAGACGTCTAGGTTCGTTTCCAAAGCGTGCTGACCAATTGATTCATTCAGGGTGGGTAGCTCTTGCTGGGAAATGAATATCTTTCCGTTTGTCAACCTCAGATCATTATAACTCAATATTTTAAAGGCTGGAGGAGGATCGACGAGCAAAGTGGCCAGATTGGTGCTGTAGAATGTGGTAACTATTAGTCCGGCCAACATCAGCAGGCTATAGAGTATCGTCCGGCTGTGGGAAAGGCTGCTGGGCATGACGAAAGATTGGGACAACATGGCCCTTAGGACATGGTCTCCGAAGATGTGCCCGCAGTGCAGGGTGAAGTATCCTTGACCCGACTCTATGTGATGGGCGTTAACCAGGAGCATAGCCAAAATAACCATTAGGCCCAAAAAGTACCGCCATCCTTTGAGGTTGAAATAGAGACTGGAGGGCGGCATGTCCGGTTCTACGGGCACCATTAGAAACCAGCTGGTGATTTCCGAAACGTAGCTGGGATAAAATGGCTCCGGAGTGAGTGTGGTCAGTACCAATGGAAAGTCAACCAGGCCGTCGGCCAGCAGCTTCCATGTGGCATTGTGTGTGGGAGTCCCATCCTCCGGGACCAGATCCCAACGTACCCACAGAGTGCCGTTCAAAGCCCTGGCGAAATTCTTATAAAAATGGGTTAGATAGCCACTCATTTGGTTTCGTCCTTCTTTATCCTTGTAGATGACACATCTGGGCAGTAAGTTGTAGGGAATAGTGGCAATTGGATGACCCTGGAGATTCTTCTCCTGCGGTTCGTAGTATCTGTTAACCAGAGTTGTTCTTTGCCTAACCACTTGAAATTTTGGAAAAGCTTTGTAGCTGTAGATAACTTCAAGGTTTTGTTCATTTAAGGCCAACACATTAAGCATTTGCGAGGAACGACACTCTTCAAATAGACGAGTTATATTGGAGCCTATGTTAACCATAAACAACACAGGAGTTCCTCTCATGTCCTGCAGATTCTCAAGAAGAGCATTCATTATTTCGTTTTTTCTTAGAGAGTCCAAACAAACCAAAGCTAAAAGTTCTCGGTTAATATGTCCTTTAAGGTAGATGCTCTGATTATTATTAAAACGGAGATAGGCGATATTCCGATCAAGTTCGTTTTGTTGCAAACAGGATCCATGTTCATCACTACTTTGAACCACAAGAAGAGTGCGAAAAGATAGCTCCAATTTGATTGAGTTTAGGATGCTACTCAAGGATACGTTTTGGGCCAAAACCAAGCTCAAAGATGTAACCATAAAGCCACTTAAACGGAGCCACATTTTTGCTAGTTTACTTTCCAACTACTGCCTAAGAAATGATTCTAGCCAAAACCGAAATCAAACCCTTTAGCGGTTTTTATGAGCCATATTTTTAGCTCTTTCAATAGGCTCCAATTACGGAAAACTTGTCACTCGCCAAATAAAACAAAACTCTCTAAGTGATTAACATTTATTTGCGTTTAATAAGGTTAATAATAAGAGATTAATAAGACTAATAATAAGGGATTAATAGGCCCATTATCGTCTTAAGTTTCCTTGCCTTGCATGCCATTTGTGGTAACCAAGTTCCAAAAGGAAAATCGTCAGACTGAAAGCACTCCCACCCATATAGCCAAGCCATATAAAGCTGAAATCCTTCCAGACGAGGTTGTGAAATTCCTTACTCTGCGTATCCATCTTGCAGGACATTTTTCCAAGATTGTTGAGGACGCGGAAACTCCGGTTAAACCACATCCGGAAAAGTCCGCTCTGATGGGTGAGTCCAATATAACGCTCCAGAGATTTCTTAAAAATTGAATTTGGAGGAACAGGTATCACCAGAACCAAGAACGGTATGAAAATGAACTCTTTGGATTGGCGAAAGATAGGGTCCTTTAATCGGTGTTGGCTATTTTTTAAACTTGGCCACAATGTTCCCGTAACTGGATAGGCATATGACGTATCCAATGCCATGCGTTTCATTTGGAAATCAGCCGAATCAGTTACCACAAACACGTCCTTGTGAGAATCAACGAGCTCTTTGCCCAAAATTCGCTTCAAGTATTCCAATTCGGTTTGCACGACTAGAGTTTTAACCTTAAAGTGTCGCATTTCGTCCCAATTTTGAATAAGTTGTCTTTTGGGAGGATGCACCAGCCATGTCGCCACATTGGCTGTGTAGTAGTTGCTCATGAAGAATCCACTCATTAGGAGTAACCAGTACAAAAACAGCAATCTCGGCGAGAGGCATCTCGGAAGGATAAATGTTTGGGCCAAGAGTCCCCTCAAGACTTCACTTCCTATACGAAATCGGGGCCAGTTTTCATTTGAACTCCTTTCAAGTTGATGAGCTTTCGACAACACGATGGCCAAAACAATGGCCATGGGTATCATTCCCTTAAGTCCAATATTCAGGAAAAACTCAGCTCTGGGCATGGCTGGTTCCATTGGCAGCATTAGATACCAACTGGAAATCTGCAGAGATGCAAATGGCCTGGGCGTTACGATTTCTAGGCCGAAGATCCCCAGGGGAAAATCTATCTCGGATTTTTCCGATAACCGCCATAGTTCGGGTAAAGCAATCATACCTTCTTCGGGAACCAAGTCCCAAACAACTTGGTGAGTGGCATTAATAGTGCTTATGTAATTTTTAATAAAATCAAACAGGTAACCGGCCAACTTGCGATTTCCGTTGGCATCTCTATAGGCCACTGTGCGGGGCATTATGTTATCGGGTAGAACTTTTACAACGTGACCTCCCAGATCCTTTAGTTGGTGCTTAAAATATATCTTAATCTTGGTTACATTTCTTCTTATAATCTGAAATGTTGGAAATACCCTATAGCTGTAGATAGTATTTCGATCTGCTCCTTTAAAAGCCAACACATTTAACATTTTTTGGTTAAAACACTTTAAAAAAGATCTTCTGATTTGCTCATCCGAAAGGGAAAATAATATAGTGGGAGTATCGCGCATCTCTTCAAGATTAGAGTATAAAGTCCTCAACATATCATTTTCATAATCATAAAGACAAACTAAGGCAAGTACTTTAGAGTTAAAGTTTTGTTTTAAGTATGTACTTTGATTTCCATCAAAACTTATAACAGGAACCATATTATGGAAATGTGCTTCATCCCAACAGGTATCACTACTTCTCAGCAAAATAATTGTCCGATAGGATGTCTCCATCTTAATGGATTTTATGATATTATACAGCGATTCTGTCTTAACCAAACCTATGGTTAATATGAAATAAAATGGTATCCTCATTTTTCCGTAGTCTTAATGATACTGTCCATGGAAATGAACCTGAAATAGGGTTATGGTAACTAAAAGTAAAAGTGCTGACCTCAATAGTCATTACCTTTAATTGGGTATACAGTACAATAGGATATCGAGAATATCGAAAGGATATAACTATACTCTTCGCTTTCGATACATTATGAGCTCCAAAATGAATGCCACCAAACCGATTAAGATTCCTCCTAGATAGCCTATCCATACAAAGTAGAAATCATGAAACTCAATTCCGCGATATAAAGCCTCATTATCCTTCTTGTATCTCACTATTCCCAGTTGTTCTGCCTCTTTGAAGCTGCTGGAGTACCATTGTTGAAATAGTCCAAATTCCTGAGATCTTCTTACAAATTGGTACAGGGATTTCTTAAATATGGAGTTCTTGGGCAATGGCATGGTCATAATGATAAAAGGCGCTAAGACCAGCTCCTCGGATTTCCGAAATATGGGGGTCTCCAATCGTTTCTGAGATTCCTCCAAAACTGGCCATAGAGTAAGAGTTGCTGGATAGGCATAGGATTGGTTCAACGCAGTGCGCTTCCTTTGATAATCCTCGGAGTCGGCTACTTCAAAAAAATCAACAAACTTATCTAGATAGTCCTTGGTTAGCAATTCATTCAAAAAGTTTAGTTCGGATTGGGAGATGAGTATCTTTAAGTTGGCTCTCCGTAATTGCTCCCAGCTGCGGATTGGTTTTCCCTTCGGGGAGTTCATTAGCATTGTCGCCAGATCCGCAGTGTAGTAGTTGCTCATGAAGAAACCACTTATCAAGATTAACCAGTAAATGGTCATCATTTTCAGGGAGAGGTATCTGGGCAGGATAAATGGTTGAGCCAAAACACCTCTCAACACTTTGTTAAAAATCCACGAAGCTCTTAGGCTGGGTCCTAAGCCCATTTCCACGCGTTTGGCATTATTCAGCAGTAATCCCAATACAACAGCCAATGGAATCATTGCCTGGAATCCCAGATTTAAGAAAAAGCCAGTCTTCGGCATACTTTTTTCCATAGGGAGTATGAGAAACCAGCTGGAGATCTGTATCGGAACAGTTTGTTTGGGAGAACTATGATAGAGTCCATCAACTCCGATGGGCAAGTCTATGTCGAGGATTTGTGATCCCTCCGACAAATGTGTCATTCCCTTCTCTGGAACTAGATTCCAAACAATTTGGAGTGTGGCGTTGATGGTTTCCGTGTAAGTCCTTATAAGATGGGCAAGATACCCTGCCATTTGCCGGCTTCCATGATTGTCTCTATAGACCACTGTGCGGGGAAATATGTTGTCCGGTAAGCCTTTTAGTACATAACCTCCCAAATCCTTTAGTTGCGGTTCAAATAATCTATTAACTTCTGATATATTTCTTTTTTGGATCTTAAAATCCGGGAATGCTTTAAAGCTGTAGATAGCTTCTAGATCTGATCCTTTAAAGCCCAGAACATTAAGCATTTTTTGATCGAGACACTCCAAGAACAATTCATGTATTTGCTTTTCGGAAGGAGCAAATAGAATCGTGAAAGTATCCCTCATATCATCCAGATTTGTGTAAATTGTATGCATTATATCCGTATTATTATTTTTAAAACAAACCAAAACTAAAACCTTTGTATTGAAGCCTTTTTTTAAGTACACAGTTTGGTTTCCGTTGAAGATTAATTTTGGAAGATTATTTGGTAAGTCTGTTTGGTTCCAGCACACATTGAAGCTCGATTCATTCTGATATAGATGAAGTGACTGTGGGGTTATTTCCTTTCCAAGATACTCCAATATTTGTGGTAAGGAGACACCTCGAACTACAATTAACTTGATGGCTGCTACCATATATACTTTCAGCAACATTTTTACGTTGACTGCCCAACAATGTGGAACGAATGAGCTTAGATATCCACTAAGTATGTCGAAAGTCATAGTTTGTAATTGCAGAAGATATATCTAGATTGGTAGAAAAGTCACTGACTATAATTGTCCTAAGCAATACAATAAACAATTTCTTTTCAACGACTACTTTTTTATTTCTGATTAATAGGGTGATTTACATTTTTGTTCTTACAACGCATTATTTAATAATTGTGAGGTTTGCCACCTATGATAGCCCAGCTCCAAAAGGAATATAATAAAGCTGAGAGTAGTGACTCCAATATATGTTAGCCATATGTAGAAAAAGTCCTGCCACATCAGATCCTGATACGGTATGAAATCATTGGCTCTCTTGTACCAAATTTTCCGGAGTCTAACCAAGTCGAAAAAGCTTCTACGGAACCATAGATCAAACAGTCCACTATGACGGGTAAGTAAGAAATATTTTCGCAAAGACTTCTTAAAAATGCAGTTATCGGGTAGCGGCAGCGATAGAATCAGCATTTCTTTAAAAATTATTTCATCGGATCTCCTAAAAATCGGCTGATAGAGTCTATCTTGCGAAATCTTTAGAATAGGAGGTAAAGTGGAGGTTCCTCCACAAAGTGGAGGTAACTGGATAGGCATAGGATTGATCCAGCCACAGACGTTTCTTCTGAAAATCACCAGAATTGTCGGTTACCACGAATATATCCTTTCTGGCGTCTATGAACTCCATGCCCAGAATATCTTCCAACACACGAAAGTCTTCATCTACTATCAAAATCTTGACCCCCGAAGCTTGCAGTTGTTCCCAGCTTCTGATGGGGTTGCCTGCAGGTGGATGCACCAGCCAAGTAGCCAAGTTTGCCGTGTAATAATTGGCTAAGAAGAAACCACTTATGAAAAGTAACCAATAGATCAACATTAGTTTTAAGGACAGATTTCTAGGCAGGACGAAGGGCTGAGCAAGAATTCCACGGATTGCTTTATTCACCAAATTGTAGAAGCACCAGATACTGGGTCCCAACCCGACCTCCATTCGATGGGCATTGCATAAGACCACGGCCATTATAAGGGCCATTGGTGCCATTCCCTGCAGGCCGAGATTGAGGAAAAATCGTGTTCTTGGCATGTTTGGTTCCATCGGAAGCATCAGCCACCAGCCGGAGATTTCGATGGGCACTCCCCTTTTGGGCGATTCCAGATCTATGCCGTATACCGCCAGTGGTATGTCTATATCCGCCTCTTCCGATTTACGAATTAATTCCGCGTATCCCGTGATGGCATGTTCTGGAACCGAGTCCCAAACTATTTGGAGACTGGCATTAATGGTACTCACGTAATTTCTAATGAACTCGCTGAGGTATCCCTCTAGCTGGCGGTTTCCATTGGCATCCCTGTAGACCACAGTGCGGGGAATGACGTTGTCGGGCAGAATTCTCAGGACATGGCCACCCAGATCCTTTAGTTGTGGCTCAAAATATCTGCGAACTTCGGATACGTTTCTCTGGATGATCTGAAATTTTGGGAACTTTCGAAAGCTGTAGACAAGGCTCCGATCCGATCCTTTGTATGCCAGTACATTCAGCATTTCGTGGTTGTTGCATTCAACGAATAATCGTCGTATTTGGGTTTCAGAAAATGCAAAAAGGATGGTGGGAGTATCTCGGATATCTTGCAGATTTGAGTAGAGGACATCCATTATTTCGCTGTTGTCTTCCTCCAAGCAAACAAAAGTAATTATATTTGTATTAAAAACTTCCTTCTGGTAAATACTTTGATTTATATTGATAATGAGGACAGGAGTATCCTCTTCAAATGGTTCTAGATTCCAGCACTCGTTGTTGCTTTGAAGCAGCAGAATTGTTCGGTAAGAGAGCTCCATGTCCAGAGTTTGAAGAATATTTCTCAACGATATATCTTTTGCATTTAGCATGCTCACCGTAATGCTAAAGAAGGTTATACCAAATAATAGCAGACCCATTTTCAAGTTATCCTTTCGGCACTAAGCTGAGAAATAAAATGAAAAGTTGTGTCTTTTTTCTAGGAGAGTTATAGAACAATATAATACATAAGTCATCTAGTTTAATTGCAATTACAAGCCAAAGGGGGTCATTACATTCTGCAACTATTTTTATATTTTTCAATTAAAGGGTGGTGGTGCGAAGGGTGACTAATTGCGATTTATGATTATTTTTTACTTGCCAACAGTGGAAGCCAAGCTCCAACAAGTAAACAACAAAGCTGGCTAGGATTGCACAGAAGTAGCCCAACCATACGTAGCAGTAATCTTCGACCTTAAGATCTCGGTAAGAACTTAAATCAGTATCTACTTTGTAGGATATTTTTTCAAGGGCTCTCAGCTCCTCGAAGGCTCTTTTAAACCAATACTTATATAATCCGCTCTGATGCGTCAGTTGTACATATCGCTGGAAAGATTTTTGAAATATAGAGTTATCCGGTAGTGGTATTGAAAGAATTAGGAAGGGCCTGAATACCATCTCCTCTGATTCCCGGAATATGCGTCGATCTAGCCGGGCCTGCTCCTGCTCCAGGAGAGGCCACAAGGTCATGGTCACTGGGTAGGCATAGGATGGGTCCATCAGCAGGCGCCTCCTTTGAAAATCAGCCGAGTCTGTCAACATAAAAATATCATTTTGCTCTTTAACAAAATCCTCGCCAACCATATGAGGCCAATTTTTATATTCGTCTTTGATGACAAGAACTTTAAGATTCATAGATCGCATGTCCTGCCAGCTAAGGATTTGAGACATCACGGGGGGATTAATCAGCCAAGTCTCCAGAACGGCCGAATAGTAGTTGGTCATAAAAAATCCGCTTATCAGTAAAAGCCAATATATAAACATTAATCTGGCTGCCAAGGGTCTGGGTAATATAAACGGCTGTGCCAGGATTCCTCTCAGGACTTGATCTTCAATGCACCACCATCGGCGGACGGAATAGGGACGTACTTCCAAGCGAAGGGCACTGCACAGCACCCCTAGCATAATCACTGCCAATAGGATCATGGCCTGGAAGCCCAGATTCGTGAAATAGAAGAATCGAGCTCGTTGTAGGCACGGCTCCATCGGAATCATCAGGAACCACTTGGATATCTCCATGGGAATATTCTGCTTTGGCGAGCCATATCCGAGGGCATCCATTCCAAGGGGAATATCCACATTAAGACGTTGCAATATATCCGTCAAGTGAATCATTCCATCTTCGGGTGAGAGGTCCCACATAATTTGAAGAGTAGCATTAATGGATTTCACGTAGGTTCGAATAAGTTGGGCCAAGTAACCAGCCAACTGACGATTTCCATTGGCATCTCGGTAGCTAACTGTACGGGGCATTATATTATCGGGAACAGTTTTCAGGACCCATCCCCCGATATCCTTAAGTTGTGGCTCAAAGTATCTTGGTAATTTCTTTACTTTCCTTTTGATTATTTTAAGCTCTGGAAAGGCACGAAAACTATAGATAATCTTTCGAGAATGTCCTTTAAAAGCCAACACATTTAGCATTTTATTTTCAAGACACTTTAGGAATAGGTTTTGAATTTGTTTTTCCGAAACTGCAAATAATACTGTGGGAGTATCGCGTATATATTGCAGATTTTTATACAACGCCTCCATTAAACCACTTTTATTTTGTCCAACGCAAACTAATGCCAAAAAATTTGAATTAAATTTATCCTCAAGGTGAAAACTTTGATTTTCATTGAAGCTCAGAAAAGGCTTGTTATTTTTAAAGATGTTCGAGTTCCAGCATGAATAGTTTTCCGCACGACTTTCTAAGAAAATAGTAGTCTCAGGGCTTAGTTCTTCATCCAAAGACCTCAGAATTTTAGTTAATTTAGTACTCTGTGTACCTGCCAAAATATTGGCAATAATAAAATAAACTAAAGGCCACATTTGGAGTTTATTTGTTGAGAATGTGCAATGAAATGAACTTGAACTCTCAAAACCTTTTGATTTACCCGAAGCATGAGGACCATTTTACACATTTGTCACTGATTTTAATTGAAGGTATTTTTCAAGCATGACTAAGCTAATATATAAAACCTGACCTTTCTCAACAATACAAATAATATATGTCCAATGTCCTATCGCTTTGAGAGACAAGTTAAAATTTGCGCCAACTTAACCCTTAGGTGTGCATTTAAAAATGTCGGGCCACGTCATTTTTGGTATTTTTTGTGTTCAAATGAAGTGCTGGTATTTTGGTTAATTCGCAGCCTGGTCACCTGAGACATGATAATAGAAAATAAAAAGTAAAACGAAAACAGACGATATTAAGATAGGAACAAGCTAGTGGATGACCAATGGATTGGATATAAACGGTATAAGTCGCACGGTTTAATAGCAGCACTCGGTAGCTTCGATTTGGGCGTGAGTTAACCGGTTGTCACACTCACGAAATTCGCAAATAATTCGAAATTGTTGCTGTAGTTGTGTAATTTGATTTGAAAAAGTGTGCTGTGCGAAACAAAAACAAAAACAATACCCAGATCGCGCGATATCATGCCGATGACGTCGCTGCCTATATACTAGATGTTTATTAATTGTTTATATACATGAGGGCGTGTGCGTGAGCGGCCTTATGCTGGTGTTTCTCAAGCACACACATTTTCTTTACACATCAAACAAGTGCTTGCTGAAAATTCGTAATATAATTTAATTTGACAAAATCCACAGTTCAACTAACATCAACTAACACCTCTATTTTTATTCCCCTTTCTTTAGAGAAGAACAAGAAAAAATCAGCCCCATCGCCGCAGCTAGGAGCTAGGAGCTAGGAGAAACGAAAGCAAAGGCAAAGCCAACAAAGCGCAACAAAACAAAACGAAAGAGAAACAAACAATAACAACACCGAAAGACAGAAAACCCAAAGATACACAATCCGTAGACAGTTAGTCGGAAATTCAAAATTACAACTGAAAAATCTTTGGAATCGGATTGGCAGCCGAACCGAGCCCAGCCCCGCCCCCCTCACCTAAATCGGAAACATGAACGCCCTGCTGCGCCACAAGGGAAGGAATCTGCGAACGAATTATCTAGTTCAGAACTTTTACAAGCGCTGTAAGTCGTCCCCAAAACTTTCCATTGATTTTACCCGTCGTGCTGTGCGCAAGTGTGTGAGTGTTCGTGTTGGTGGGCGCCTGTGTGTGCTATTATCCGTTATTTTGTTTTGACTGCACTTTCGCCAAACAGCTGATTGCTCACGTACTACTGCGTAGGCTCAAGAATGATGGGGGGGCCTCTTGGATGATATAAGTCTGGCGTTTTGAACAATACCTGCTAATTTAATTACTCACACTGTTTGGCACTCTGTTGACTTTGGATCGCGCCATCCAAAAATCTTATCTTCCGTCTTAACCGGACGAAACGACCCTGAGATTAGGGACTTTCTAAGCCCATTATTGGGCCTCTTTTTGGGAAACATTTCCTGACAGTTTTCGCCTGTACCTGTCACTTTTCTAATTTTGGCAGCGTTAATGCGAAAAAAATTGAGAAATTTCTACGAATCCGCCTTTTACAAGGTGGAAGACAACAGGTGCAGACGGCAGGTAGGAACAGAGAATCGCCAGACAAAGCGGCACCTACACAAAAGTACAGTCTACTTGAGAATCTTCGGATGAAGCAGATTCTGAAAAGAGGCCACTTTCTCCAACAATGCTCCTTTTGGCTGAATCCCTCCTTTCGCTTGTCTGCCATCCAATTACCTTGAACGAGTGCCAAGAAAATGTAAGAAAAAAAAAAAGGAAAAGTGAGGTGTAAACAATTGCACTCGGCGCACATTTCTGAATGTTTGCTACATACTTTATTTATAGATGTACATAGAAAGATTCGCATTTGTATGAAAGGTTTGCTAAAGATTTGTTCGATTGGGGATTTATATAAGCTCCAGGTGCTAATATATGTATGTACATCGCTGGCGATCTTTACCTTTTCCATTATCAACCCGGTCCCAGCAACAAATCCTAATCAAGGGGAGACACGCTTATCACCTGAAAACCCTCTGCTTCGTTGTTTTTTTTGTTACCGGTGATTAATAATTTAGTCTTTATTTTTCTTTCTTTGTTTGCATTTTCCCACTTACGCTATTCGCCGGCTGTTGAACTTTTTTTTTTATTTTCCTCAGAAGAAAGGAAAATTGTTTTGCTTTCTACAGATAAGGATCGTTGATCCCGGGGTTAACAAAGATTTTCCTGAAAGAAAACTCGTATTAATATTTGAACTCTTTCAGATGTCAAATCCAATTGTTGTGCCTGCAGCTCCGCACTCTTCACAAATGGCCCCAACGCTCCTCAGGAACGACAGCGAAGATCCCTGTCAACATCCGCCATAGAAACAGATCGGTTCAATAATCGGAGATTCCTGTCACACGTCAGCTATGGATACCACTACTCCGGCCACGGTTTCCGGCATCTGAATACCAGCCGGCCGACCTACGAGACGCCCAGCTCGAAGATCGATGTGACGGTCAAGAAGCTAAAGAACCAGCAGAAGGAGAAGGTAGACGAGATCATGAAGGAGGTGGCCAATGGTCAGGTGACGGCAGTAGCAACCAGCAGAGCAGCTACCGCCACTGCCTCCTCAGATGAAGACCAAAAGGAGAGCAAAGCGGTCAAGGGCGAGGTAGAGACGGCAACGGCAACAGCAACGGCAACCGCAACAACTGTGGCTCAGCCGGCGGACAAGACGGTGGCCAAGCCAAAGAAGCCACTGCGGACACGCATTTGGGACGAGCTGGTGCATTACTACCATGGCTTTCGGTTGCTATTCATTGATGTGGCCATCTGCTCGAAGCTACTGTGGAGGGTGCTCAATGGCAAGACCCTGACGCGGCGCGAGAACAAGCAACTGCAGCGAACCACCTCGGATCTGTTCCGACTGATCCCATTCTCGGTGTTCATTATTGTGCCGTTCATGGAGCTGCTGTTGCCGGTGTTCATAAAGTTTTTCCCGGGAATGTTGCCCTCCACTTTCCAGACGTCGAACGACCGACAGGAGAAGTTGCGTCAGTCACTCGCCGTACGTCTTGAGGTGGCCAAGTTCCTTCAGAAGACACTCGATCAGATGCCCGTCCAGCACAAGGAGCACAGCAGCGAGGAGGCCAAGCAATTCGAGGAATTCTTCACTAAAATCCGTAATCCCAGCGATTCCGTTAGCAACGATGAGATCATCAAGTTCGCAAAGCGGTTTGATGACGAAATCACCTTGGATTCGTTGTCACGCGAGCAACTGGCGGCTCTCTGCCGAGTGCTGGAGCTGAACACAATCGGTACCACCACGCTGCTGCGGTTCCAGTTGCGGCTCAAGCTGCGCTCGCTGGCTACCGATGACCGGGTGATTGCCCGCGAGGGAGTGGACTCCTTGGACCTTTTCGAGCTGCAACAGGCATGCAAAGCGCGCGGAATGCGAGCCTACGGTCTTACGGCTGAGCGGCTACGATTCCAGTTGAAGGAATGGATCGATCTGTCATTGAACGAGCAGGTGCCGCCGACGCTTCTCCTCCTGTCGCGAGCCATGCTCATCTCTGACGACACCATCACCACCGACAAGCTTAAGGAGACAATGCGGGTGTTGCCAGATGCGGTGGGCGCTCACACACGACATGCCATCGGAGAGAGCGAAGGCAAGGTGGACAACAAAACCAAGATCGAGATCATCAAAGAAGAGGAGCGCAAGATTCGCGAAGAACGCGAGGAGGAGCACGAGGAGGTTATCGCCAAGCGATCCGCCAATAAGACAGATGAAACCGGACCCTACGTCTTTCCCGAGAAGTTGGCGAGAGAGAAGCTCAAGGAGGTTTCATCGGAGTTACCCGCGGATAAGGGCATATCCTCCACGGATGTTCAACTGCTGTCGGATGCTCTGAAGACCCTTTCATCAGATAAGCAACTGGTGGTGGAGAAGGAGACGATCAAGGAGCTGAAGGAAGAGCTGGCCGACTACAAAGAGGACGTGGAAGAGCTTCGAGAAGTGCGGCAGGTGGTCAAGGAGCCGGTGCGCGAGAGTCGTGCGGCCAAAATGCTATACAACCGAGTCAACAAGATGATCTCCCAGCTGGATGTTGTGCTCCACGATCTTGAGGCCCGGCAGAACCAGATCAAGCAGGTCGATTCGGGTGACTATGTGGTTTCCAGCCCGGAAAATGACGAAGCACCCCAACAAATGGTGCACATTGACGAGCTGGTCTCCACCATCCGGCGCATGAAGGAGGCCTCCGACGAAGAACGATTTAAGGTGGTCGAGGACCTGCTGGTGAAGCTCGATGCGGACAAGGACGGAGTAATTTCGGTGCAAGAAATCACCAAGGCGGTCCAGAGCATCGACAGTGAGGCCACCAAGATCGACAAGCAGCAGCTGGCGGAGTTCACCGAGCTATTGTCCAAACAGGCTGCCCGGAAACGCACCGAGGAGATCGTTCGCATCGACGATCTGATGAAGAACATCAAGGTGCTCAAGGAGACCAGCGACGAGGCCCGACTGAAGCACATTGAGGGTGTGCTGGAGAAGTTCGACGCTGACAAGGATGGCGTGGTGACCGTCAATGACATTCGCAGGGTAATTCCTTCATATTTTTCGTTCGATTGTAATAATACCATTCGCATTGTCTGCAGGTGATGGAGTCCATTGGTCGTGACAACATCAAGCTTAGCGAGAAGGCCATCGAGGAGCTCATTACTCTACTCGATAAGGAGCAAATCTTGCAGGCCGAACAGAAGATCGAGAAGGCCATCGCCAAGAGTATGAAAGAGGCTGAAAAACTAAAGTATGAGGTGGATAAGACGGACAAGGAGCTGACCAAGCTGGTGGACGATATTCATGATTCCGCTAAAGAGATTCAGGACATTGCCAACGAACTGGGTGCTACCGATGACACTCTCACTGACAAAGCAAAGACTCTGAAAGCTGAGGTGAGTTCATGTTCATGTATAACAAGCTCGGTTATTAATGCTCAATTCAATGCCTTAGCCTGCTTTCGAAGACACGGCCAAAACGCTTAAGGATTCGGCTGAGAAGCTATGCGAGCCGGTACCAAAGGAGACAAATTCAAAGCCCTGCAGCAATACGTCAGTGAAGCCGTCGGATTCGAGTCGGAAGACTGGCGGTGGACCTGGTTCCGAAGGAAGTAGCGGCGTCGCTGGTGGATCAACAACGGAAGCTGTGCTCCGGGAAGCCGCTGAGCGGCAAGTGGAAAAGATTCTGCCCTCCTCAGACATCGGTCTGCCGCCAACGATACAGACACCCCAGCCCCCGACGACAAAGAAGGCCACAGCGAAGGCCTCGACCCAAAATCTGTCATCGACGGTCAACGCCAAGAAGCTGCTTTGACCGGCTGCCGGGAAGGAATCGCAAGTAGGAACGGCTGGGAAAAAGCAAAGTCCAAGCCCCAAATCAAATCCGAAGCAAAAGTAATGTTTAGACGTGATCAAGTTAAGAAGGGGGCGGAGGTTGCTGCCCAAATGTCCCTTAATGTTCCAATTTGAGAAAGAATTAATTGTACTGCAAAATATAAACCGAGGGAGAAAACTGAAACGATCTTGCGACTCTGTATTTAACTGGGTCCTTGTCCTAGCAGGGATTCGGATCAGGAGAGTCTGCTCTACTTAACGCGTGGCTGTAGTAACGTAACTTCTCTCAGTAAGGCACAAAGCAGAAAGTAATTTAAATACATCTGAGTATCCGCGCACCTAACCTATATATCTTGATTTGTAACTCCCTAGATCTACCGCATAAGTTTATATAATTTACAAACTCGTCCTTTAGCTAGATCCGCAATATGTGCTATGTACCTCCCATTCATCCAGCCACGTCGGTGGCGGTGAACGACTTCCCTTGGCCTCAAACAATATTAGCGAAGCTATTGTGATTTTTAAGCGAAATGTTAATTTACGATTTATACATCCTACTTCTACTACTTCTACTACTATGTATTTGCATCAAAACAAATGAATTACACTGTCCGGTTTTGTAGACATAACCGCAGTGGCGACGAGATATTGAAATTAAATTGAAACCACGTGATAAATCTAAACAATAATGTGTGTGCTTGAATGAAATAGTTGAGGAGAAATTGTAAATGTTTCACAATAAAAGTTAGTTAAAAAACAACCCAATGGTGAACTAATTTTGCATGAAAATGGCAAATTTTACTGAAATTAAAACTCATTTCACTCAGTGAACAAATAACAGATTCGGGGGCTATTTAAATAATGGACTCCAACCGAACAATTGCTCTTACGAACCGCATTGATTGCTCAGAATTATGTTTTTGCATTGTTTATGGCTTAAATAGGGAGTGGAATGGTAATGGCGAAAGCCGGTCAAAATGGCCATTTCGGCCACCCAATTGGCCTGGCCGGACCGGTCTGGCCGGCTGTGATTCGCAATCGACAACCACAAAACCCAAACTTTTACGGCAACCATCAGGACTTTTGCCGGGCGCTCCAAGTTAGCTTTTGGCCAAAACGAGAAGCAGTCGGCAGCAGGGCTAGTGCATTTCCAGCATCAAAATCTGGCCAATATAAGTAATAAAAATTACCACAAAATGTTCAAAATTTTCATCTTTTGGCCGTACTCTGACCCATAAATTCGCATCATATTCTGCAAACCGAAAATGCGAAAAATGGTTAGAGGAAGTGTGGTCCTCGTAAAATATTTAAAATTGATTTTGGAATATGTATTCGGTAGTATAATTAAAGTTCATATGATAGACTTTGGTGCCCTTCTAGAGATCCTGTTCATTAAGTCCTATCCCAGAGTCAAATTCTAAATAAATAACCGAAAAAACTTTCCCCCAAACAATGAAATCGAAAACAAATAAAAGCAAAGCGATGGAAAAATTTATTTAAAGGTAAATAAAACCACACAAAACGCGAAACAAGCCAAATAATAATAAACTTCAGTACCGCTGGGAGAAGCTCTGAGGGCCAAGCGGGAGTTGTTGTTCGCAATCAGGCAAAACCCAACAAAACCAGACGAAGACTGAGGATGCAAGGAACCGACGAACCGCAGACAGTGGACCCAGTCCATGGAGGAGTCTGGTGGCGATGTGTCTTCTGGTGCGATGGTCGATGGACGGGCGGGAAACTTGTGCCGAGTGTCTCGGCAAAAGTTTGCTCAGCTCAAAGTGCTTCGAAGGCAACAATGAAACTCGAAATCTGCCATGAATTGCAGACAATCAGCGACAGCGAACATAAGACAACTAGACCGGTTGAATTTAAAGTATTCCGCCACGGAATGAAGTTAATAAGTTTGGAAGCCAGCGCCCCAAAGAATGTTTCAGTGCCAATGAAATGAAGCTGCAGGACGAGGCCAGCACGAGATGTAGCATAAAAACAGGATACAAAAAAAAAAAACGAAAACTATAAAATTATTTGAAGAAATGTTACAAAACAATTAAAAAGTTGCAGACTTTCATGAGTCAATCAAAAGACCGGGAAACCGCAACGAGTTTCTAAAAGTTGCCCAAGTTGGCGAGCACTTTAAATGCCAGACAACAGCCAGCAGAATCCAGCACACATATCCCGCCCCATTCTGGCACAGGATGTGTGCCATTGCAAGGACGAAACATCCTTCGCTCCGACTTATGCAATTTGTCGTTTCTGAATTTTATTTTCTGGCCAATCAGAGCCAGAAACGCTGGCACCCAACTTTAAAAACTGCAAAACACCCAGTTGCAGTTCACTGTACAGTGTGCACTCTCGCCCTGTACCCTCGAATTTTTTAGGGGAAACCAGAGAGCCTGTCAGAAAGTCCTGGGCCTGTCAGTTACGGCCCTTGGCATGTGTTGTACATTTCGCATTATAAACCCCGAGATGAGCCTGTCGGAGGCGGCGATGCACACCAGATGTAGATGCAGATGCCTAAATGAATGGCCGCTGTTCCAAAATTAAATTATTTTTATACACATTTTGCTTTTCAATTTGCATATTCTAATAAATTTTAAATAAAAATTAAACCAATGACTTTTTAAAATTAATAAGTGACATATTTTTTGCTAGAAGCCCGGTGGCTATTAGAGATGGGTCAGTGGTTTTTAAACTATATATAGAACATATAATATTTTTCATAAATTTGGTTAATGTATTAAATTATATTGGATATATGTATATAGCTTTATATTTTTAATTTCACTGACATCTTAAATCAAAACACGATGCAAAATGAAGGCACACTACATACAACTCCTGCTAATCTCGTCTAGGTACTCGCTTCTGGAAAGGATCAGACTGACGATGAAACCAACCATAACGCCAGCTGGTAGCCTCGGGGTAGTTGTACTTGTCGTCGGGACTACGCTCGTACCGCCTCTCCAGATACGTGGAGCGCTGGCCACTGTGGAGCAACTGAAGCTCCGTAGCCGGCACTGACTTCATGGGATCCACCGAGCAGTGGCCAAAGCCCCGCTTCTCCACCTGGGAGAGATCGTAGTCGAACACTCCCGAGGTTGAGGGTCGGTAAATCCGGCTGGTCACTGCGTAGGGATTCCTTCCTGGAGGTGGAAACATCAGGCGTCGGGAGTTGTCCACCACCACCACGCCCTGTAGTCTGTGAGCTGAGCCGGCGGTATCTCCGGCCGCATTTCTGGGAATGCGGGTCCTAAAAGGTGGCCTTGCCACATAAGTCTTTGACTTGGGAACAGGCTTCTCCTTCTCCAACTTTGTGGGGGTGACGGGTGTTCCTGCATCCTGCTCACCGGTTGGCGGCTTTTCCGGCATCTTCTCAATCTGGTTGGGTGTGGGCAAAGCTGGCGGGGCCGGAGGTGATGCCGGTGCAATCTTGGCCAATTGATTGGCTTTCCCCCTTTGCCACAGGCAACGCATGCCGGGCGAGATCTGGGTGGGCTTCACCGGCGTCAGGGGGATTGTCGGCACCGGCTTGACGTCATTGCTCGACTTCTTCTGGCATGATGCTGGCCGCTCGTGTGCACTTTGGAATTTTGATGTCACTTGTTTATTTGGAGTGGTAACCATTTTAAGTTAACGATAGCTACGATCAGGAACGACTAATAAATTTTGTGCAAAACTTGACAGCGGACGAGTATGGGATTGCTTTTATTTGAATTTGAATAATATTTGTTGACTTGTTTTTGCCTTTGGCTCCGGGCTTTTATTTAATAAATAAAACTGAAACGCCTCTAAGCCATAGAGTAAACAAATGTTCAACACCGAATAATTCCACTTGACCAGCAGCCAGTCTTTATGTCCGGCATAACTGCCGATTTTGATTTTCAATGAATGGTAATCCCCAGCGGAATGGAGGACTTTTTCCTGCCTCTGGATGCCGTCGCGTAAACGGAATTTGTGTTTATTTTCAATTTGTGTGCTAGTGTGAAAATATAAAGTGGATTATACAGAGATAAGAGTGCTCTACAGACACATTTATTTTTCCCTTTTTTTAACACTTTTTTTAGGAGCCTTTCGGGGGCCAAAAGGAAACGGCGACCCGCACGCTGGCCATAAAAATATCGCAGATATGTCGCCAGACTGAGAAATGTTTATATGCATGGAGGTCGCATGTCGTGGTTGTAGATACTTGCAATTGCAACGGGAAGCACTATAAAGCTACCAGAAATCGACAGGTCCTTTCTCCTATTTCCCCTTTTTTTTTTTTGGTAGCAGTGAGGCTATGGGTTTGGCGTTTATTTGGTCTCGTTTCAATTGGCTTGTTTATTCCAGGTTCCTGTCTGTTTACTTGGTGGCTTCGTTAAACTTCTTCCTGTCTGTGCTTTTCCTTTATTTTTGGGGTTTTGTGCTTCCCGAAGTTGTTCACCTGTTCACCCCTGACTAGCCCGGAGGAAAACTGCATAAATTAGGCAGTCTTTTGTTTTGATTATTTTTCCAGTCTCTGCTATCTTTGGTATCGCTCGGAGTGTATCGAAATTTATCACTGAAATAGAAACAGTTCTGGCACTGCATGGAGGTAACACCACTCGCTTCTGATACAAATATCACAGATTGGCAGCCGAATTAAATTTTCCCCAAAAACTCAGTTTGATAGATGGAGTGTCAGGGCAAGCCATTCGTTGCTAAAAAATTGAACGACTTGCTGAAACTTTAATAAGACGGAATTGTCTGCGATTCCAGGCAGCGACATCTGAAGCACTCACTACTTCCTCGACCCCTGGCTGACTTGACCATTAGTGAAAATTCACACAATCCACACTTTTCCGATTTGAGTCGTCTCGTCGCGTCTCGTCTTGAAATTCCAATTCCATTTTCCCATTTTTCCATTTTCATCCCCATGCTGCATTTTTCTCTATCAATACTTTGAGGAGCGAAGACTGCACTTCTCGTCCTTAATTTGCACAGCATTTGTCGCCATTTGGCTTTTAGTTAGCCGGGAAATGGAGGTGGCCGGGGCGGGGGCGCCACCGACTCTGACTGATGGAGTTGCAGCTGCACTTTACTGCAATTGGTTGCACTTTATTCGCGGTTGCGTGAGGGGAACTCGAAACTTTGTAAGCGCAAGCAGGAGTTTCTAAATTGTATTATAACTGTTCTGTAGAAGCAGGGAGAAACTCTTTATAATTTATACGTAAATTTGTTTTTCTTTTAGAGTCTAATCATTTTTGCATAATCATATACATGTTGTCAAGTTCAACTGCCATCCATAACCGATAAAGCCACGGCAGCGGCCAGGCCAAAGTTCGTTGACTCAAAGTGATACTTGGGGCCATCCGTAACATCTACATCTAAGGAGCAGGTCCTGGAATTGGCGGCACAGAGACACGAAGGGACTAAGTCAACAATGGCGTGTGCATTGCTCGGTTTATTAAAAAGGACTCAGGTGAATGGCTGAGCGCGCCGTTTCAAACATCAGGTGCGCATCCACATCGTCCTGTTTGTCCTGTGTTTGCATAGCCGGGATACATCCAAAGTCTAACACACGTATACGTAATATAGAGATAGAGCCTTGGCAGGCTGGCAGGTAACCACTATGGGAGCATGGGAGCCGTCTGCATTCAATGGTCAAAGGTCATTTGCATTTTGCCATCGTCAGCTTGTTTTGCTTTGAGCCAAACAAGCATAAACGCTTGCCCAGCTGGTGTCGAAGTTCGAGCCAAAGATACAAATACAGACTCCAGATAGCGGAGCCACAGATACAAATACACCGACTGATTAAATGGCCCTGATTGCAACAAAATATTAGCAGAGAACACAATGGGCTGATGGAAAAACAGTCAGTTAAATAAGTAAAAGTGTTTGCATTGACCTAAAAAATCACATAATTAATGGCCAAAATATTTACACGGTTAATTAATTGCTAGAAAGCTGCGTAAATTAAGTTACGATTTAAGGCCATTCATTTATGAAAATTACAAAAAACTTATCAAGAATGAATAAAAAATATTCATACATAGTTTTCAGCCATGATTAATTGACAAATTGCTGAAATATGTTGCTCGCATGCCGCAGGCGAGAGGAGCTTGCCAACATTTCCAACATGTAAACACATTTCCACCATTTTCCCGAGACTCCCCGCCCACCAATCGCATTCTGTTCAAATCGCTCGTCATTAATTTCCACACATCGGAGTGGGTCTGGGTGGGATCTGGTGGATGCAGGATGGAGGATGGAGGACAATGGATGGAGGGAAGCACTTGAAACTGTGCTCCAAAGCCCCTGATGCTGTGCTTATCCACTGCAGTGCGTCCTCAACTTTTATTGGGTCTTTTAGTTGCGTTGTTGTCCCGAGGAGGACTGGAAGGTGGTTGGGGTGTTCGGGGTTAGGAGTAAGAAAAACAACAATCAACACCATTTGACGCTACAAATTAAGCTCGAAGCAAACAAATCGTGGCAAGTACCCTTGGTTTTGGCTCACAAAAACTTTCCGCTGTTTTTGGCCCATGTTGTTGGCTTGTTTTATGTGGCTCTTGTGTCTTGTCTGCTTTTCCCACTTTTCCCGCTTTTCCGCTTATTGCTCCTCCCGTAACCCCAAACCCCCAAAACCCTGAAACTCTGAAACCCCAAGACCCAAAACGAAAAACTGCCTCAAGGGCAATTTCGTGCTTTCGGTTCTTCAGAAGCATTTTCGATTGCCGATGCTCACTATTTATGGGGTAAAGTGCTTAATCAAACGCCAAATGGCAGGGGCACGCACCGACTACACGGCGTATACTTAATTCTCGCACATCGCCTTGGGCCAAAAATTCGATTCTCCATCTGGTCTAATGAAGCCATGGCCCCAACGAAATCCAATATTTATTTAATTAACAAGTTCACCTACTTAACTATTGAGGGAAAATTTTAGTGTGAGTTTATTGTTGTAAAGAGTTCATTTATTAAAAGTAATAAATGTTTTGCTAATTATTGTAATATTTCCCCTACTATTTTAGCTTTGAAAAGTTTATTAAGAAAATATTTATTAGAGCAATTTTATTTAATATATATATATATAATTTATATATGTAGAAAATATGAAAAAGATGAAAACCATTTAAATTTATTTCAACTTTTTATACCGTGTACTGTTGGATTGCATTCCCAACCTTAAAAAGTTTTTATATTCTATAAATATGGAATGTTTTGTACAGTGGCGGATTTAAGGAAAAAGGCCCAGTGGGCAAAATTTTTTCAGGGTACATTGAAGGGTATTTTGAAGGGTACAGCCCAGAAAATTTGACAAAAAATCTTAAAAATATTATGGTCCCAGATTTTGATGCAGATTTGTGAAGAATCGATCCACAAATAGTTTAAGGTATTCCGTTCAAGAATCGGATGAATATTTCCTAAGATATGGCCTTCGCAGTGGGTCATATGGGGCTCCCCATGCATTTTGCACATTTTGAAGGGGACAGCCAAGAAAATTTGACAAAAAGTCTTAAAAATATTTTGTTCCCAGATTTTGATGCAGATTTATGGAGAATCGATCCACAAATCGTTTAAAGTATTCCGTTCAAGAATCGGATGAATATTTCCTAAGATATGGCCTTCGCAGTGGGTCATATGGGGCTCCCCATGCATTCTGCACATTTTGAAGGGCACAGACAAAAAATCTTAAAAATATTTTGTTCTCAGATTTTGAAGCAGATTTATGGAGAATCGATCCACAAATCGTTTAAAGTATTCCGCTCAAGAATCGGATGAATATTTCCTAAGATATGGCCTTCGCAGTGGGTCATATGGGGCTTCCCATGCATTCTGCACATTTTGAAGGGAACAGCCCAGAAAATTTGACAAAAAATCTTAAAAATTTTATGGTCCCAGATTTTGATGCAGATTTATGAAGAATCGATCCACAAATCGTTTAAGGTATTCCGTTCAAGAATCGGATGAATATTTCCTAAGATATGGCCTTCGCAGTGGGTCATATGGGGCTCCCCATGCATTCTGCACATTTTGAAGGGCACAGCCCAGAATATTTGACAAAAAATCTTAAAAATATTTTGTTCCCAGATTTTGATGCAGATTTATGGAGAATCGATCCACAAATCGTTTAAGGTATTCCGTTCAAGAATCGGATGAATATTTCCTAAGATATGGCCTTCGCAGTGGGTCATATGGGGCTCCCCATGCATTCTGCACATTTTGAAGGGCACAGCCCAGAATATTTGACAAAAAATCTTAAAAATATTTTGTTCCCAGATTTTGATGCAGATTTATGGAGAATCGATCCACAAATCGTTTAAGGTATTCCGTTCAAGAATCGGATGAATATTTCCTAATATATGGCCTTCGCAGTGGGTCATATGGGGCTCCCCATGCATTCTGCACATTTTGAAGGGGACAGCCCAGAAAATTTGACAAAAAATCTTAAAAATATTTTGTTCCCAGATTTTGATGCAGATTTATGGAGAATCGATTCACAAATCTTTTAAGGTATTCCGTTCAAGAATCGGATGAATATTTCCTAATATATGGCCTTCGCAGTGGGTCATATGGGGCTCCCCATGCATTCTGCACATTTTGAAGGGGACAGCCCAGAAAATTTGACAAAAAATCTTAAAAATATTTTGTTCCCAGATTTTGATGCAGATTTATGGAGAATCGATTCACAAATCGTTTAAGGTATTCCGTTCAAGAATCGGATGAATATTTCCTAAGATATGGCCTTCGCAGTGGGTCATATGGGGCTCCCCATGCACATTTTGAAGGGGACAGCCAAGAAAATTTGACAAAAAATCTTAAAAATATTTTGTTCCCAGATTTTGATGCAGATTTATAAAGAATCGATCCACAAATCGTTTAAGGTATTCCGTTCAAGAATCGGATGAATATTTCCTAAGATATGGGCTACGCAGTGGGTCATATGGGGCTCCCCATGCATTCTGCACATTTTGAAGGGCACAGCCCAGAATATTTGACAAAAAATCTTAAAAATATTTTCTTCCCAGATTTTGATGCAGATTTATGGAGAATCGATCCACAAATCGTTTAAGGTATTCCGTTCAAGAATCGGATGAATATTTCCTAAGATATGGCCTTCGCAGTGGGTCATATGGGGCTCCCCATGCATTCTGCACATTTTGAAGGGGACAGCCCAGAAAATTTGACAAAAAATCTTAAAAATATTTTGTTCCCAGATTTTGATGCAGATTTATGGAGAATCGATTCACAAATCGTTTAAGGTATTCCGTTCAAGAATCGGATGAATATTTCCTAAGATATGGCCTTCGCAGTGGGTCATATGGGGCTCCCCATGCATTCTGCACATTTTGAAGGGGACAGCCCAGAAAATTTGACAAAAAATCTTAAAAATATTTTGTTCCCAGATTTTGATGCAGATTTATGGAGAATCGATCCACAAATCGTTTAAGGTATTCCGTTCAAGAATCGGATGAATATTTCCTAAGATATGGCCTTCGCAGTGGGTCATATGGGGCTCCCCATGCATTCTGCACATTTTGAAGGGGACAGCCCAGAAAATTTGACAAAAAATCTTAAAAATATTTTGTTCCCAGATTTTGATGCAGATTTATGGAGAATCGATCCACAAATCGTTTAAGGTATTCCGTTCAAGAATCGGATGAATATTTCCTAAGATATGGCCTTCGCAGTGGGTCATATGGGGCTCCCCATGCATTCTGCACATTTTGAAGGGGACAGCCAAGAAAATTTGACAAAAAATCTTAAAAATATTTTGTTCCCAGATTTTGATGCAGATTTATAAAGAATCGATCCACAAATCGTTTAAGGTATTCCGTTCAAGAATCGGATGAATATTTCCTAAGATATGGGCTACGCAGTGGGTCATATGGGGCTCCCCATGCATTCTGCACATTTTGAAGGGGACAGCCCAGAAAATTTGACAAAAAATCTTAAAAATATTTTGTTCCCAGATTTTGATGCAGATTTATGGAGAATCGATCCACAAATCGTTTAAGGTATTCCGTTCAAGAATCGGATGAATATTTCCTAAGATATGGCCTTCGCAGTGGGTCATATGGGGCTCCCCATGCATTCTGCACATTTTGAAGGGGACAGCCCAGAAAATTTGACAAAAAATCTTAAAAATATTTTGTTCCCAGATTTTGATGCAGATTTATGGAGAATCGATCCACAAATCGTTTAAGGTATTCCGTTTAAGAATCGGATGAATATTTCCTAAGATATGGCCTTCGCAGTGGGTCATATGGGGCTCCCCATGCATTCTGCACATTTTGAAGAGGACAGCCCAGAAAATTTGAAAAAAATCTTAAAAAAAAATGTTGTTCCCAGATTTTGATGCAGATTTGTGGAAAAGAAATCGAAGGTGTAACTTTCAGCACGAGGGGCCCTGAAAGCCTTCGTCGGGGGGGCCCAGTGGGCAAGCGCGCCTTTGCCCACCTGTTAAATCCGCCACTGGTTTTGTATGTGTAATTTTTGAAGTTTTGTATATGTTTATGGAAATTCCGACTAATCGTTCAATTTTTATTGGTGTTACCAATTTGTATTTCTTGTCCCCTATTTGCATGGTGGGTGAAAGAATATCGATTATCATATAGACGGGAAACACTACCATAGCCGTCCTTTCTGTTTTTATTTAAATATTTTGCGGTCAGCTAATGCATTTTGATTGTCAATTTTGATAAATGCCTTTATTAATTCATTTAGCACTTGCCTGCAGCTATGGCAATAAATAAAATACAGCGCCACATCATAGAATATACTTTATTTTAATGCAATTTTTTCTTTAATTTTAGTTTCCACAATTTTTAAAAACGTGTGTAACTGAATGCATCGGTGGAAAAATAATTGCATTTTTGTGATTCTATTTGTTGGTCGTTTTGTTGCAGTCGCGTTTAATTTATTTATTTGGCAGGCGCATTTTGTTTTTGGGCATTCGGGGTATAGTGTTTCGTGACGGCACGTGTTTAATCCTAGTAAGTATGCGCCCCGCCAGGAAACTGGGCTACAGGACCTCCTCTACCTTCTACCCCCCCTAACACAGCCAGCCAGCTTCCCCGTTTGTTGGTCGATGTCCTTTCTTGGCAACACGGTTGTCATAAAATGTTAAATATAAATTTATGGCAGACTGCGCGCCGGTGGCATACTAAGCACCGCATCACCAGATACGGAGGTGGAGCTGGGGTCCGGGCCACAGACGGAGGCAAAGTCGGTGCCGTAGTCCATGGTTGCCCCTGCTGGTTGGCTAAGCACATTAGCAAAATGAAGCTGTTTCGATTACGATTACTTTGCTCAGAGATTTGCGGTTGTGTTGCATTTGAAGATATCAAGCTGTCAGCATTCCAGACACTAAAACAAGGCAGCACTCAGGACCCTCTGTGAAATGGCTCCGATTGGTGGGTGAGAAAAGTGATTTACACAAAATGCAATTTCACAAAATGTTGTTGAATATTAAACAGTTTTAATTTCGCTATTATCTCCATTATCCGTACCATCGATAATTTGATTAAGGTGATAATTGTTAAAATGCAATATGCTGCGGATTATGGAGATTTGTCAAAAGAACACTTAATTGATTTATCCATTTTATTTTAACGTGATTCAAAATTGTTTAAATAATTAGTTTATGATAAAACACATCAAATTTTACCCATAGGAGGCTTTATATCTCCCTCGATGCTCCTTTCTAGTGACAGTTTCACCCTCAAATACATAACAAATTCCTAGCGTCTCTATATAGTACTTTATATATTTTGTAATTATTAGAAAAAATTATCATTGGCTTTAATGGCAGAACGCTATGATCGCGCCGTTACCATTTACTCACCGGATGGCCACCTGCTGCAGGTGGAATACGCACAGGAGGCCGTTCGAAAAGGATCCACTGTGGTGGGATTGCGCACCAAAAACGCCATCGTATTGGGCCTGGAGAAGAAGTCCACGAGCGATCTGCAAGAGGAGCGATTCAACCGCAAGATTTACATGATTGACGACCATGTGGTGATGACCTTTGCGGGTCTCACGGCTGATGCCCGTATCCTGGCCCACATGGTTCAGAAGGAAGCCCAGAGCCATGCCATGAATTTTGAGAGGCCCGTTTCCATAGAGTATATTGCACGGTAAAAGAAAACCTTTTTTCAGTGTCGTGACTTTGCAAACTAATTAAGCATGTCACTTTCTTTGACCAGCTATATAGCCAAAGTGAAGCAGACATACACGCAGAGCAATGGACGACGTCCTTTCGGGTTGTCCTGCCTGGTTGGTGGCTTTGACGAAAACGGCACATCGCACCTGTTCCAAACGGAGCCGTCGGGCATCTTTTACGAGTGGACGGCAAACAGCACCGGACGGTCCGCCCACTCGGTTAGGGAGTATTTGGAGAAGCACGTCGACGACATTCCGGCCACCGCCGATGAGCCTACGGCGATCAAGTACATGGTCCGCACCCTGATGACGGTCTCCAATCTGAACCAGAACCAAATGGATGTGGCGGTGCTGAAATTCAAGGAGCCACTGCGAATGATTGATCGCAGTGTCCTGACCGATCTGGTGAAGGTTATTCGAAAGGAACTGGACGAGGAGGCCAAACAGCGCGCACGTATTAGTATTTCCTAATTCCGGAGATGGCCAGCGGCCAGATTCTGTTTATTTTGTTATTTTGAATCAAGAGTTGATAACCAATTGCATGTCTTGCTTTGTTGGGCCTGTTTTTTCGGCATTTCAATTTTCAGGCAGGCGGCCAGATGGGGAAAAGTAATCAGGAGGAAAAGTGTGTAAAGCGCGCAAATCACTTGATTTGTCTCGAGGGCGTATTTTGGTTACTTTATATCCTGGACGATGAGTGCCGAGACCCAGCCAATCAAGTTAAAAACTTTTAAGTGAAAATGGGAATTGAATTTGATAAAAAAAATGAGTAAAAGTACGAATGAAACACGTAAAAAAAAAAAACCATAGCGGAAGAGTTCTGTTAAAATAAAGCCCTGAAATATATTGTTTTGTGAAAATACCCCCAGTTTTTTTGAGTGCCTTGCCTGCTGTTAGTCCCATTTAGCCATTCCCGAACCTGCCAACACCTTTGGCTCCCCAGGCTGTCATCTCACAGGCCAAGCAAAGTTTTCAAGCTGCCCAATTTTTGGGAAATCGAGTGCTTCAATCAAAAGAAGGCCTCGGGGCTGAGAGGTGTGGTCTAGGTCGGCAGTTTTATTTGGTATGGCCAGTGGTATGGTAGTATAACATTTAACCCTTCAAAGAAGTCATGCCAGCTCGAATAACTTCGTCTGTGAGGAGGAGATGGCCTGCAATTACGGAGCAGGAGTTTAACATCTGCTTGCAGACACAATAGTTGTCAAGGATACCAGCTGACAATGGGTCCATGGGCTCTCCCGTTGCTATGTCAAGGCCGACCGGAGGAGACATCTGCCCTTCTGCCGTATCCGGGTCCTCGTCTTTGTCTTTCGCGGCGCGTTGGGCCTCTGTCAGCTTGACAATTGTCTCCTGGACATCAAAGCCACTGTTGACGGCCAAAGTTTTAGGGATAACCAGCAAGGACTCGGCGAAGAGTTGCACCCCCAATTGGGGCTTTCCCTTGACCGAGTGCTTGAACTTTAGAAGCTCGGAGTGGGCCTTGAGCTCAAAGGCTCCAGCCCCAGGCACCACACAGGCGTCCTTGATGGTATTCAGAATGGCATGGAGACCGTCGCGTACGGCATCCTTGACAGCAGCGATTTCATGACGAGCCTGCCCACGTATGAGTATTGTGACCGAAGTGGGATTCCGGCAGCCCTCGACAAAGGTGTATTTCGTCTCGGTTAGATGCTCTTCGCGTATGTTGGCAGCATATCCCAAGTGCTCCTCCTTCAGATCTTCCAGAGAATGCAGTGCCTCGCCGCCACAAGCACGCACCAAACGCTCCATATTACGGCGCTTGGCGCGTCTTAGGGCCAGGATGCCTTCGGCGGCTAAAAGCTCCAGTGAGGGCACATCGATACCCTTCTGGTTGATGACAACAAATCCTTTCTTGCTGTCCCCACAGACTTTCTTCTTCAGGTCTATTATTTTCTGGATGCGCAGATCTATGAAGCGATGTTCCTCGTCCACAAACTTCTCCCTTTCCTCGCCAGTTTTGTAAAAAAAACTGGAATTTACTGAAGTCTTTTCCAGTTCCAAGGAGACGTTGCACGTCAGGATGTAGGCATCGCGGACCAGTTTCGGCATATTTGGATGACGGCCACCATGATCAAGCACCAATCCCGAAATAAGTTGGGTATCCAGGTTGGTGTGTTGCTGCATTTCCATCATTTCGATCATGTTAAGATCCAGAAGATCATTTCCCTCTCCTCTGATGGCCAGGACGGCATCCACACAGATATCCGTCAGCAAGTCAGCCATTCCCGGCTCCAATTTGGTTGCCAAACTGGTCTTGGCCACCGGAATCAAAGCTTTGCGTTCAACGGGAATAGAGACCTTCATGGAGTCGAGAACTTCTAAAGCCCTGTCTTTGGACATCATTATTCCCTCCACCAGCTGGCGAGGATGGAGTCCCTCGGAAATAAGAAGATCCGCCTGTTTCAGAATCTCACCAATCAGAATCACCGTCGAAGTCGTGCCATCTCCCATTGAATCGTCGTGGGCAGTGCTGGCCCTGGCTATCATCGCCGCCGTGGGATGGCGGATGTTCATCTCGTGAAGCAGGACATTGCCGTCCTTGGTGATCTTGATGTCGCCAGCGGGAGACACAAGCATCTTTGTGGTGCCCTTAGGTCCGAGATTGGAGGCCATGAGCTTTTGCAGGGAAGTGGCGCCCGAAATATTTATTCCAAGAGCCTGGGCAGCTCGAGCAATTTCGGCTTTTGGATTCAGAAGACTTACGGCGGCCATGATGGAAAGGATATTTTAAGATTTTTATTCAGATTTCTAGACTCCTTGTTAGTAGCGAGAAAGAGATGTCAAAGCGAGAAAAATGTCAAAGTGACAGGTCTTAAACGTCAAAGAATATTTATCGATTGTTTTTCGATTCGATAATCATCAGAAATACTTTCATGAGCTTTGAAAGAAAGACAAAAATTTCGATTAAGGAATTTTTAATATTTTAAAAGTTTAAGCTTTAAAGTAAAATAAGGCCGACTCTAGTTTTCATTAAAAAATTAAAAACCTGCTAACACCAAAACTGACTAAAAATTGTATATTTTTTTAGTAGGCTTTAAGAAAGTTGAATAATTACTTATTTAGTAGGCCATGGCTAAATTTTTGACAACTTTTGTGCCAGTTTAGAGTTCTCTTGCAGTTAAAAAGTTCAGTCGACATTTGATATGTCGGGCAAGTAAGTATTCTAGATTTTCTGGTAAAAAAAATCTTGCAAAAAAAAAAAATTATTAAGTTATAGCAGTCACAGCACCAGCTCCCGGATGTCCATGGGAGATGGCAGCTGGATTAGCTGGTTCCTGAATCTCCAGGGGAATGAGTTCCTGTGCCGCGTTCCCCACGAATATTTGCAGGACAAGTTCAACCTAACGGGATTGGAGAACAGCGTGCCGAACTACTCCCAGGCTCTGGGTGTGCTGATGGATCTCGAGTTTGATAGCAAATGCTGGGACAACTCGATAGATTCCCATAGCGCGGAGCTGCTGTACGGGTTGATCCATGCCCGATACATCTTGACTCCGCTAGGCGTTGACGATATGCTCTTCAAGTATGAGCGCGGAGAGTTTGGATCCTGCCCGAGGGTCTATTGCAAGGGTCAGCGAGTTCTGCCGGTGGGCCTCAGCGACCAGGTTGGTCAGTCACACGTTAAGGTCTACTGTCCGAGGTGTCATGACATTTTCCAGCCGAGATCACGCTGTGCTATGCTGGATGGAGCCATGTTCGGCACCGGCTTTCCACACATGTTCTTAATGCAGTTGCCGGCATTAAGACCACAACCACCCAAGGAGAAGTATGTTGCACGGTAAGGGATATAAATGCCTCTAGGTGATCCACTTTTGACTCTTGATTCATTCCAGTCTGTATGGCTTCCAGTTGCATAAGAAGGCTCTTGTGCCGTCCATTTCGCCGGAACGCAAGGTACCTACCTCCGCCGCCACTACCACCAACACTACCAACACCGCATCTGTTGCAGGTAGCTCATCGATGAGTATGCCATCCTCAGTGCCCAGTCGTTCTATGAGGCGTCTGAACATATAAACTCCTATATGTTTATAATATAAACTGTCACTTAGTCCATGTATATCACACACTGTCCCACACTGTCTCACACAGTACACGGAAAGCACAAACAAATATGTTCACTTGTTTTTTGTTATTGTTGACCGCAATAAAGATCCTGGTGTAGTGGGTTGATAAAGCCAGATGTACACCAGCCACACTCCCTAGTTAAGTAAACAAATGATCCTGGCTATATCAACCCACTTAATGAAGCATGCAAAAAGTATAAAGTTGGACTTTTTAATTATAAATGGGAGGGGTGCTGTACAGCTTGCCATTTACCAAAAAATGATTAAAAGCAATGATCATCATGGGAACAATGATTGCGGCTTAATCCTTTCTTTCTCTCCATTTTGATGGAATTGTGCTCCATGATATCGGCTTTTCCTAAAATATCCAGCCTCAATATAAGCCCCAATCTCTAGTTAATTAAACAAATGATCCTGGCTATATCAAGCCACATAAAGAAGCATACCAAATGTAAAATGTTCGTCTTTTTACTTTTAAATGGAAGAGTTGCTGTAGAGCTTGGTACTCAACAAGGAAAAAAAAAGGATTAAAAGCAGTGACCATCATGGCCACAATGATTGCAGCTACATCCTTTCTTGGAAGCCTTGTCTCCGTCGCCTTTGTTTTCCTCTATTTTGATGGACTTGTGCTCCATGATATCGCCTTTTCCAGAAATATCCAGCCTCATAATATAAGCATCCTCGCCATTGGCATAGTACTTCGTTTCTACACCCACGGTCTGGAAATTCAGGATACGGGTATACAGACTCAAGGCAGCCCGATTGGTGACCCGGACATGCAGCGTAACGAAGTCGGCCTGGAAACACTCCTCCATGGCCCGGAAGGATTGCTGCATCAGTTTTTGGGCCAGGCCGAGACGGCGGTAGGACCGTTTGACGGCTAAGGAAGTGATGTTTCCAATCTTAGACTGATACTCGCCACCATTGGGATCCAGGTCCTTCATCTTGGCCAAGACATAGCCCACGATGCGACCTTTTTCGTCCTCGGCCACATAACATAACTGCGGACCGTTGATGATGTGCAGAAAATAGTACCTGATGTGGTAGTTCTCGGGCAGGCACAGCACGTTGCAGTGTTGCATGGCCAACAGGTCCGCCGGACGTGCCACACGGATGTTCATCTTAAGATTCGAAAATAATTTCAAGGCTTTTTATATTCTTTCTCTACATAGACTTTGATGTGTTTCAGAGTTGTATGACGGTTTCGTTATTCGATTGTGAATGACAGAAAATTCTTAATTTGCTTAATTTTCTAAATTGTTACGATTAATGCTAAGTGGCTTTGCCACTGAATTCTGTGCTGTGGAGTTTGCAATCAAAAGCCACTTGCCAGTTTAACCTGCTAAGCCGATAATGGGTATTACCCCAGAGCCCAGAAGTCCTCTACAAGGAGTCGAGTCCTGTTCCTCTCCAATAAGTCATGCCTTTATTATTATTTACTGCCACTTTGCTGCCTTCAGTTTTTGCCGAGCCACTTGTTCGCCGATTCTCGAAATGGTGGAGCACCATTCCCGACACTCTTTTGTCCTGTGGACTGTCTTCGCTTGGGTTTCTTTCCCCGGCACTCGGAGCACTCGCACTTTTCACACTTAATTTCATTAAGTAATCTTTCATACTGCGCAGCTTTTATTGAGTTTTAAACTGCCAGACCGTATAATGAGCATGCTGGTGGCACGTAAGTGGAAAGCGGGAAATACGGGAAATGCCGTGAAGTGGCGGGAATACGGAAAATGCGAGTGCGGAAAAATGGTAAGGGCGAGATTTTTTCAAAAGGAAACGAGCGTTATGTTTTACATTACAATTGAAAGCTGTCGACTTCTTGTTGTCTCAAAAGGATTCGGGCTTTAAAATGCGAATAGTATATGCATCACCTGTTGATGGCAAGGTTTTTATAAAAATCCCTAGTCCCTAGTCTCCAATATTTAATATTTACTCAATTCCCAAACGGCAGATGCTGTGTTGCATCAATCCTTGTGCTGATAAACAAATCTCGTTGATGTTTCTCCAACAAACAAAGTGCTTGCATTCGATTGGAAATCCAGCAATGCTTTTGTTGCCAGACTGGAGCGCCAGTGCAAGCGTCAGTTCTGGCCCGGCCAAATGTGTTTTCGAGAACTCCCAAATATTCGATTGTATCGCTTCAGGCTTCGCAATTTTGTTCGCCCGCACTCTGGAACCAATTTTGGCAAATGTTGTTTTTTCAAGTCCCGCCAAAGCTTACTACGAAAGTAACACTAAATATATCTATGTCTTTCATCAATGATTTTAAAATATATTTCAAAGATGGCCAACAATGGTTGTTCAAATAAAGATGTCCACTATATAAACTTCATTGGCTATTAATCTAATAAGGAAACCCTTTGTTTTTTGGCTCATTTCATTTTGTATCTTTTCGCTGATGCTGCTCTGATGAGCCTGGCTAAGCGATTCAGCAATTTATGGTTAATGGCACTAAATTGGTTAACTTTGGCAGCCGCCAAACTTTTCAACAACTTGGACCAAAAAAAGAAGTCAAGAAGTTCCGTTTGGCTAGGCCCCAAAGACTACAAAGTCCTAAACGCTCACTGATTAACCCATCGGGACCGGGACACTTGAGTTCCTTCAAAAAGAGGTCGTAATTATCCTGATGAGATTGGCCAGGCAACAGGACAGCCAGACAGCCGCTGAGCCAGAAACTCCAAAGGCCAAAGGTGCCCTGGCGGCGGGGTTCATCAGCCTGGTTAGCTAGTTGGCAGTTGGCAGCGCCTCAAATTAAGTTACGGCAGAAAGGCGGTACGCCGGACATGTCTGCCCGCTCCGGTAATAAGCTTAATGAAAACAAAAATGGATGTCACTCAGCTGGGTAAACTGATGAAGATGGAAACGGAAACAAAGTGGGTGGTGGTCCTGCAGTTTGCCAGGATGGAGCAAAGCGTAACCTAATAACTTTGGCCACGCATTAATTGGAATTTATGAAGCGAATTCCACTTCTCGGCTCCAGCATGCTGGCCAGGATTCAGTGCTAAACAAAGCGGGTAATGCGTGCCAAGTGTCACTGGAAGGGTTACCAATCCACCGGGCCTCTTGCCTCGTATCTTCAAGACTCGTCGGGTTCTTGGACAACAAAAAAAAGAAAAAGGGAAAAATGGAAATGGAATAGCCAAAGGGGAAAACTTGTGCGCCAAGTTTAAGTGCTTTTAAAAAACCATTAACGTCATTTCCTTTGCTGTCTAGCTCCTCCATTCAATGAAAACTGAACTTGTGGGCTGGCATCCCTTTTTTCCCATTTCTTCATTTATTTATTTATATATCTGCTGCGGCGAATGAACAACATCAATACAGTAAGCTATTGAAACGTAAATTTTGTTAAAATCCAAATCTTTTGTGATTGCCGGTTACTTGGTCTTTGGCTTGGCCTTGGCGGGCTGGGGCAGTGATCCGTCGCCCCAAGTTCCACCGGGATTGGGAATGGGTGCCGGCACATCGTTCCATGTGGCCGGAACTGTTGGTCGTTTGGTGGAACGCTTAGTCCTGCGCCTCACTGGGGGCTGCGACTTAGGCAAGGGTGGATTTGAGTCCCGAGATGGCGGAGATGCCGCTGCAGGAGCATCTGCACCGACTTTGGATACTGAAATGGCCCTTGAAAGCGCTTCTGGATCCTTCTTAGTCTCCGCTTCCTTCACCGTGTCTTTGGCAGTCATTATCAGGTCGTGAACTCGCGAGGCGACTCGATCCGCCAGGCTAGTGTCCTTGCGGGTAATCGGAGGCATGGGTGGCAGGTGAATGGACGGACTGCTTATCTTACGGCAATTGTCAAGGGGATCGTTGTGAATTGTCTGCATAGGCCCGGGACAGGCACCCGGCATCGGTGTTTCTTCGTAGCACACATGGCGGCCATAGTCGAAGGACTCCGTACTGTCCGCAGCTGGCACTCCGCGACGATGGAAGCAGTTTATGGGACAGGAATGGATGCATGGCACATAGGGCTTCTCCACTTCGGCCAGTTTCTTTATCTTGACCGAATTGCAGAAGATCTGGTGTCGATCCAGGACCTGCTCCTCACGGCATTTCTCGCGCTGCTCGTACTTCCTGTACGCCAATTCCGCCTTGGAGAAGAAGCCCGGCCAGCAGTAGTCTCGCAACTGGCTCCTCTTCACCAGCCTGCCCTCCGGCTTCATGTCCAGCAGATTCTCGCTCTCGTAACGCTCCACTGCTTGGGCCAAGGGATAAAGAGGACGTCCCACCTTGCGGGAGGCCTCCATGGCATCGACGGCCTGTTCGAAGAACAGCTTGTCGTCCTCGAGATAGGGATCCTCATTGCAGGCGGTCAGGTTCATCATTTCTTCCCGGCGTCGCGCCAGGAACTCGTCCCTCTGACCGAACAGTATGTCCTTCAGCTCCTTCTTGGCTTTTTCCTGTTTACGTTTCTGGGATGCGTTGAAGAAGCGATTGGCCTCCATGTTCTTAAGGCGCGTAGCTATCTGGAATCGTTGAAGCTCCGCTTCCTGGCGCATCTTCTCCGCATTCTGTTCCTTCTCCACTTTTTGGTAAGCCCGCCGCTGCGAGGCCAACACCTGGCGTTCGCACTGTCGGCGATTCTCGTCGACCTCCACCTCGAAGGCGTAATGATCCTCCAATCGCGCCATTCGCTCCTGCAACTCCTTCTTCGCAACCTCCTGCTCAGCGCTGACCCGGATGGCCTGCTTCTCCCGATCATTCAGCAGCTTTTGACGAAGTTGCTTGACGTGAGTGCCGTAACGTGATTCCAAGTGGCGATTGGCCACAATGTAGACACAATTGCGACGATCGTCAATGGCATCGCAGATGCGCTCATCTAGGGGATCAAAAATATTAAATAGTTAAGAGATAGATGTCAGTCACCCACGTTCTGCAATCTCTGCCTTCTCCTCGACGGCATCCTTGAGTGCTTTGCGGTAGAAGGCAATCTTCCTGGCCTTCTTCTCCTTGGCCGCCTTCTCCTCTTTCTCCTGCAGGCACTTGTACTGCGCCCGATCCACCTGCTCCTCAAATACCCTTTGATCGCGTTCCGCCTCCCGGAGTTTTTCACGCCGTGCGATGTCCTCTCGCATGGCCTTGGCGTGGGCCAAGTTCTTGGCCTCTTCCCGTGCCTTCTCCTCTTCCTCGGTGGCGTGGCCGAAAGGCACTAAGATAGCTGGACACAGGGCTTCGTCGGCCTCCTCCTGCCGGCGAGCATTCTCCGCTATCTCCGCGTTCAGAGCCTCATTGTACTGGCGCTGGTGGATCATCTCACTGAGCAGCAACGCCTGCTGGAGGGCTCGTGGCCCGGGCTTTAAATTGTTCAATAGCTTGTTGGCCCGAATGATGCGCTCTTTCCGAATGCGTTCGTCCGCCTGCTTGGTGGACACTATTTTGGGCGCCGTCTTGTCTTCCTTGGGCACCACTTTTACTTCGGCAATTTTATTGGGATCCGTGAATAGACTGACCAGGGCATCGTTACCATCCTTGAGGTACTGTCTGTACCTTCGTTCCTCCTCCACGGCCGCCAACTGGGCATGCTTCTCGTCCTGCCGCGATCGTCCTTTGATCGCCTCATAGCGTTTAGCAGAAATGACAACCGGATGGAGTTTGAAGCGTTTCCTCACAATGAGTCCGTCCGGGCCCACGAGCTTTGGCTTGCAGTGTAAACTGTCCATTGTGGGAACGAAAACATAAAACTTAAAAGGTATCGCAAATCGAGGCAAAAATTATTGGCAATGTTTTTTGCAGTACTAATTGAATAAGTGTGTCTGGATGTCTCTTCAAGAGTTTCTCATCTGAATATGAAATCTATTTTCAGTGGTTACTTTGATTTTATTTGTTTACATTTAAAAATGTAGGGGATGTGCATTAAAAGATAATTTTTGAAGTGCCACCAAATGGCTTAATTTTGCTTAACGAAATAATTCAGGTACCAGAATCTTACGTTTAGTCAAATATTACCAGTTCGAGTATTACAGTGAACAAGTCTGGATTATAAAAATGAACTATTGGTTACTTTTGTAATGCTTTATCGTCTCAGTTTCCTTTATTTTCTATGGTGTAAATAAAATAGTAGTACATTTTTGATTCTGTAATGATTAATCTCATTTCCAGGAGACATTCTATGCCAAAATGACAAACGCTGTTTGTGAGTCCTACAACGAATCCTGGGTAATTGTCCATTATTGCCGACTGAAGGCCTATTCAAGGAACAAGACTAGTTTGCATATAAATGCCACATTTCTATATCCGGCCCACAACATTTTCCTCAGAATGAAAGTGATGAAAAAGGCCAATGGGTACAAGCCATTTCTTTTTGATTACACCTTCGATGCCTGTGAATTTATGAGGAAACGGAATCAGCCATTTGCTAAGATGGTTTGGAACATGGTCAAGGACGTATCGACTATAAATCATACCTGTCCTTATGTGGTAAGCTTTGAAACATAAATAATTATTACTTTTTTATTCCTTATATTTGGCTAAGAAGGGCCTTCAGGTGGTGAACGATTTCCATCATATCCAGTTACCACTTCCCTGGCCAGGAGGCGATTATGTGCTTTTTTTAATTGGATTTTTGATGGGAAGCCACAGTTTGCGACCAATGGTTTCGGTTTCACATTTGTGGAAGATTTATAATCGTCATCCGTCATACTACGTATTTAATACTACGTAGTATTTAAATAATAAATATTTTACGCTCCAATAGACCTAAGCTTTCTAAGTGTAATAATAATAATAATTTTTAATATATTTTGATGATAAAATCTCTTTAGTCGTGAACTTCAAATTCCACTGTTGACGGTGGCAGTTTTAGTACAACCAGTGAACCTGGCCAAAATGAATTATAAACTCATTGGATGCGGATTCTTTTTATTCATGGGATTTCTATATTCCATTGTAAGTATTGTCCACGTCGGAGTTGGTACTATGAAGTATACCTTTTTTCTAGGAGGCTCCCTATGTTAAATTAACGAATGTTGTCTGTGAGGTCTATAATAAGTCTTGGGTGGCTGTCCATTACTGTCGATTGAAGGCCTATTCTCGAAATAAAACCAGCTTACATATAAACGCTACTGTTTTCGAGCCGGCCAACAATATCTCCGTCAGAATCAAGTTTATGAAAAGGGCCAATGGCTATAAGCCTTTTCTTTATGACTTTGTGGTGGATGGATGCCAGTTTATGAGAAAAAGGAATCAACCCGTGGCCAAAATAATCTGGAATCTGATCAAGGACGTCTCAACAGTGAATCATAGTTGTCCGTATGTGGTATGTTAGAAATTTTTGTAAATTTTTTTTATTCCGAAAATAAACCATTTATTTTCAGGGTTATCAAGCAATTAGCGATTTTTATATCACTAATAATTTGCCGGTTGTTTTGCCAACTGGAGATTATCTACTAATGTTAACATGGATTTTCTACGGAAAACGACAGTTTGCAACAAATGTTTATTTTCGGTTTGTGGAGGATTTGACTTCCCAAAATTAAGACACGGCAGTTTAATTTGCCATTTATTTTACACAAGAGTTTGAATAATAACCGAAATTAATTTCCGCCACAAATTGTCTTTAAAAACTGTTGGCATTGCAGCACATGATACGCTTTCGCCGATCCGCAATTAGATGAACCTCAATTAGTGTTAATCAAATTAGCCAAAAAAAAAAAGCCTGAAAAAGGAAATGAAAATGAAATCCTTGATAGCAAGATGGTTCAGATGGTGCACAATCCAATTCCCGGCAGGCGTCAAATTATACAGAAAACTCAGATGGCGAACAAACTGGAATCGCGGCGGGCCAAAACGAAGGCAAAGTTGACTTTCATGCGAAAAGTTTTTCCGGCGGATTGCCGAGCCGAGAGGTGGGAGGGATGGAGAATTATAAGAGGGCGGTACTAGGGCAATAGGCGTGGTCATACGCCAAACACCGGCGATTATTGTTACAAAATGCAGCGAGGCGTGTAATTTTTTTGGGCCACGAAGAAAACGCAAAATGGCCAAAATGAAAGAATTCACATCCAGGATTCAGTTTGAGATTCAAATTGGCCAACAAAAAAAGTCAAAAAAAATGGAAGAAGACGAAGCCAATGCCCCTTGGGATGGAGAACGGGGATCGGGAGGATGGGCTTCTGAAAATTGTTTTGCGAAAATTAGTTTTCAAACTTTTCTTGTTCGTTTATCTTGCATTTGTGTGTCGGGCTCGTCCTTTTGGTCCTTATTTTTGGTTAGGTCCCTGTGTGGCCAAATGAAAATCTAAACGCAGTATGCGATATTAATTTGCATTTTGGGTATAGCCCGGTACAGCGGAGCATACCGGGTTTCGGGTTGCGGCAGTTCTGGCACAATAAAAATCAAATTTGAATAATTTTTAATTTATTTAGCAACGTTTCAGGGATTTTTTTCATTTGCCCACCGATGGTGTTTGTGTGTGTTATTGTTAATTTTTTGTTGGGCTTCCTTTTTTGTAAAGTAATTGCTTTGAAATTACCTTTTGAGTGAGTTGAGAGCTGACCCAGTTTAAAAATTGGCTGGCAATCTTTTCAATGATATTTATTTATTTTCAATTATTTTATTTTATTTTATTTCTTTTTTGCGTATTCCATATATACTTTAAAATCTAGGAAAATTTTTGTATAACCAAAAACAAAGATACTTAAAAGGTAAATTGATTTCGATTTATCTATAATAGGTTACTTAGCTACAAATTATAAATGATTTAACAATAATTTTCACACCAACCGACTTAAATTCTTGACAATCACAAAGTTAGGATTTGATTTTGATTCGTAGAATAGTGAGTAATTTGGTATCTGACTCTGAGCTATGAAACTAGAACTATGATTAACCACAACGCTTTAAGATCCACCAATTTCAGACTCTACTTTGATCAGTAAATGGGGCCAGAATCGAGGGGTAAGTTTTTTTGGGATCTGAGAGGAAAGTCTGATATCTCTGTCGGTACCAACCATGTTGGTTACATTTTAAACTCTATCTTCGGGTTTTAATTTTTATCAGATGCACATACACAACTTTACAACAATTACGATTAATTTTATTTTTGCTTACTGGGGAAACTTAAGGTATCACAAACACTTAATGAACACTTACTATGGTTAACGTTGTTGTTAGCTTAAGTTGGCTTTGTTTGCCGATTGGATGGGCGAAGTCGCTAGAGTAGCCCCAGGATCGGGGACTTACAGAAGGCAAAAGCATAAAGTCCGAGAATCAACAGTCTAGCTAAAATACTTAGGTAAAGGAAATATCTATTTATGGCATAAAAGTTTGCCATTCATTGTATGAGGGTCTTGTAGGTTTTCACTTTTACAGAATTTGTTTGGCTCAAGCTTTTGGCCAGAAAGTAGCATATGCTGAAGGTTTTTCTTCGAAAATTGAAGATGTTTGAATGCCTTAGGTAAGAAAATACAATATAAACTTGTATTTCTTTTATGAAAATTTCACAATTTCTGAAAAATTAAAAAACCACCCCAGAGTTCTTAAATCTAAAATATGACAAACATTTAATAGTCCCTTAAGATATTTTATAGACACACACACGCACATACACTTATAGAATCTTAAAGATATACATATCTATTCATTCTCACTCCCCAAAACTTGCTGCGGTTATACCTTCTCTGTTTATTTTTACCGACTACTTGCGGTACTCAGCCATCGGAAAGCTGGACTTATCCGGCGGCGGACTATGACAGGCCGCCCGAATCCGACTCAGACGCAGGCTGCCCGTGTGCTGCTGCCCCCCGAAAAGATGGCCCCGCACCCTGGCCTGCTGGTGGAGGGGGTGGTGGGAGCACTTGGCCTGGCGCGCCAATTGCTGGCTGTTGGCCAGGATCACGTCCTCTGCGTACTAAATATCCGGAATGCTCCGCCCGCAGGACAGCTTGGCGGATGAGTCCAGGTCGAGAGCGCCTCCGTTTCCGGTCGCCAAGGCCGCAGCCTTGCTTTTGGCGCAGTGGACATCGTGGAAGAGGTGCTCGCACAGCTTGGGCTCCGAGTTGGAGAACTTTCCCAGCTCTGATGCAGTGGTGGACTGGGAGAGATTCAGGTGCAGATCACTGGCCTTGCTGAAGGAGGTGGTCTGCTGCTGGGTTTGGTGGTGGTGCTGCTGCGGCTGGTGCAGCTGGTGGACGTGGTGGGGGTGGGTGGAGTACGGCAGGTGGGGCAGGTTCTTCTGCATGGCGCTTAGATTCCCGGAGCTGACGGTCCGCTCCAGGATTTCGCCCCAATACTTTTCGGACAGTCCTTCGATATCCGGCCGGGTGGTGGAGTACGCCTCTGCGGCCTGCGCGTGGGCGTAACTGTGGCCGCCCATCGTGCCCCGGATGTACTGGGAGGCACTGCGGCTCAAACTATTGGCCCGCGAGCGCGCGCAAATGCCCAGAACTGAGCCGCCGATGGAACTGGTCACACCTCCACCGCCGCCTCCTCCGGCCGAAGTGGAGCCGCTGCCAGTTACTCCGCCCCCCGTACCGCCACTACTGCCATTGCCAGGCGGCGGGCGGGAGGACGGCGGCTCCGGGGGCATTGGAAGCGTCGTGATTTCAAAATCGTTAGCATTGATGTGACAACAGCCTGATTTGTGCTCCGGCGTATCCTCATGGGGGAAACACTGAAATGGAAATGGAAATAGAAATGAATGGACGGGATCATAAATTCTGCTCGCACAAAAATTAATAAGGATTTTAAATTCGTATTTATTCCGGCAGAGCAGAAGGTTGGGCCATAAATATTCCACAGACTGACCCCCGGTTTTTGTTTGAGCTCTCCGGAAGTAAATCATGCAACTTGACTGCCTTTTCCCCCAAAAAATACGAGTTGGAACCCTGGGATGTACTGGGAAGGCTAGCACGGAGCTGCCGGAGGGTGGATGGTGTATGTAAATGCCCTTTTGGATTTTCTCTTTCATAATTCAAAATCACTTTTCAAGGCTCGTTATTGCTCCTGTTGCTGGTTGCTGGTGCTGTAGCTCCCGTTTTTGTTGTTTGGATGATGCTTTGGCTGTTGATTGTTTACTTTACCATAGTCAGTCTGCCTGTCTCCCAGCATCCTACGGCTTACACCTTCTTGTCTACGGATTTATGGGGAGGGGAATGCGTAGCCCGGTGTTTGTGTTCTCCGGAAACTTTGCCTTCACCAGCTGGCCTCAATGCTAGTTGCAAAATGTGCACTTGGGTGAAAATCCCATATTTTTGAGGATGCTATATGGCTGGCTAGCTGGCTGGATGCCTGGCTGGGTCAATGAATGAAAGGTTAGAGCGTTTGGAAGATGGATAAGCGATTCAATCAATCAATCAAGGCTTATGACAGCTTTTGAGCTGCAACAGACAGTGAACATGCTTTTGGATCACATATACAATAACTTGTGTCTCAAAGAGAAGATTTAAACAGCACTTGAAGAAAAGAACCAAACAAATAAAAATAATTCCTTTTGTAAAAAAAATTAAATACCCACCTTGTTGGGCATCAGTTGACGACTCAACCTCCGGAAATCAGAGTTCAGCAGCCAGTACATGAATGGATTCCACAAACTATTGCTCAGAGCCGTCCAGGTGACGAGAAAATCCAGGAACGGAGGCAACTGCAATCGCACAAAAATATCACAAAATCAGAACTGATGACTGGGACGTGGCTTGATTACGTATTCGCTATTTTGTACGCAATGAATGACTAACTGAGAGATGCCACAGTAAACAACGTTGGGAATGGAGGAGAACTTGCCTTGGATCCTGTGCAGGCGGTGACTATCTCCTGAATGGTCCAAGGAGTGACCATAACAATGAAGCCCAGCGAGATGGCAGCCATGGAACGTGAAGTGTTGCCGCTGGAGTTTTTCTCTTGGATGGGGACAATCTAGAATGCAACAATAAAAACTTGTTACTTTGAGCTAATATGTAGTAATACTTAGAAGGTATGTGATTAATCTAAAATTTAGGGAAGGATAGTTTTTAAGTTTAGGACAGCTTGAGCTATAACCTCGACATTTACGTTCATAAAGAGCCATGTAATCAAAACATCAGGCTTGTGCAAAAACCCCCAAAAAGCACACACTGATGGCTCCAACAATTTGTTTGGCAGTGAAGGCTGCAAGCTAAGTCTATTTACGCCAAACTTAATCCCGGACTGGGTGTGGCTGCTCTTGGCCCCATTCCGGTCGAGACTTACCTTTTTGGTAATCTTGTTTGTCATGTTCGGCATGCCGGCCAGTCCCATGCCCATCGCCATCCCAAGGTGCCCCATTACGGGGGCCGGATGGTGGGGGTGCTGGTGCTGATGCTGAAGATGGTGGGGATGCGGATGCGGATGCTGGTGGGGATGCGAGTGGCCGTGGTAGAGATGCGAGTGCTGCTGTTGCAGGTGCTGCAGCTGGGCGGCAGCGGGATGGGGATGTGGGTGCGGATGGTGGACAGCTGCCGTGAGGGGCATGGTGGGATCGTTGAGCCGAAAGCGGCTCATGTGGAAGCTGGAACCATAGCAGTACATCAGCACCATTGTCGTGGGAAAGTAGAGGGCACACGTCGATAATATCCTGTACGATGGCTTGCTGTAGAAGGGCTCGCAGGCCATTAGACCCGTATTGTTGAAATAGTAGCCTGCAAGCGAAATACATTGGAGGTGTCGAGTGCATATAGATGGCCATCTAATGGCGAGGTGCCGCTCTACTCACCTTTGGGCAGCACTAGGAAGCCAAACACGGTGAGACTGATAATCCAGGTTAAGCTCAATATGGCCACACAGCCCTGCAAAATGAATATACAACCATACAATTACTGGACACAACATTTCCACCACCTGGCGGTTGATTTATGGGCGGAATACCCACACTTGCTTTAAATTATAATTAAATACCCAACACTCAACTGACTTGAGCGGAGATCTCCTCAATATGGCTAAAGTTTTTAATTTTCCCATCACTCACACTCATGGTGCGCATTTTCCATACAGAACTTTTCCATCTGTCAGTCCACAAAGACCGAAAATGGAATTACAAACTTTTTTTTTTGATTACGTCCAAAACATTTAGCAAAGAGTGCTGACCGCAGAGGTGATGCGATACTTTGGCAATTGGGGAGCTATGTAAAAGGACTGCCGCAATCATAACTGACTGACAGAGCTACTAAATGGGACATCCTGACAGCCCAAATGGCAGAATATTCTCCTGTCCCTCAACAGAAAAAAATTAGCCCAGCCAGGACAACAGGACAAAAAACTGGCAAACTGAACAAAAACTTTTTCAAAGGTACATGGTTATGATTTATTTAATTTACGCTATTATATTTAAAACTTTTACGCAGCAAGGGGCCTATAGAAACCTTTTCTGAAATGTAAATCAAATTATTTTACAGAGTTTTGTGAAAAGAGTGCCTGGCAGGAAGATATTATTTTAAACTTTCTGTGTAGTATCACTTGAAAATATCAGTCACTCAAATTATAAATAAAAAGGAGAATTAATAAACTAATTGATTTGAAAATCTCTCATTTATTTAATTTATGATGGCATTTCTTGAAAATAATTTCAAATTTATGGCACTTTTAAAAGGAAAAGCAAAACGCAAGTTGAAAGTTTTCGATGCCATTACCAAGTTGTGGTTTTTCATGCATCCATTTATTAATTTTCGACAGCACTCACACCATTTTTATATAAAATGGGCGTAGCCAGCAGCCTTTTTTTGGTCCCAGGAACCAGATTGCGAAATAAAACCTCCAATTGGCCCCCAAACGAAGTGAACCGAAAAAACAAAAAACTGAAAACCAATTTTATGTAAATATTTTTTCCCAACTATTGGAATTTCTTTTTTAACACATTTTTGTAGATGAAGATTATTTTATTATTATTTTTAAATAAAAAAAAAATATAAAGAAAAAAATTGTAAAATTATAAAAATAAAATATATTTTTTTCAGGATATTTGATATTCGTTGACTTGAGCTTGTAGTTTCCCTCTTTTTGTTTACGGTCCCGGAGCTATAAATTACGGCGTAAGTGTAGGAACGGAATGAGAAATAGAGTTGGTGGCTCGTTTGCTGCTCTTTGGTCCTGGCTGCGGTTTCCGTGGGAGGTGCCGCTTCATTTGCCTGCCTTAGTCCTGGGAAAAAAAGGACTTTGCTGTGGTCGTCGCCCTTCGACGAAGTCATTGCGCGTAAAAAATGTCTAGGCCAACTTTTTCCTCTATTTTTTTATCTTTATTTTATATACTTTTCGAATGTCTACTGTCGACTAGGTTTTCACATTTTTATTTTTACTATTTGTGTGTGTGTTTTATTTTTTGCCAACATTGCTTTTTCATTCTTCATCTGGTGGGTGCTTTGTTTTGGACTTGCTCTTGCCTTTGCTTCCATTTGTTTGCTTGTTTAATGACTGCCAAGGAGCTTAAAGCCCATTATCCTTATTTATGCTTGCGTAATTGGCTTCCATTGTCCCGGACTGATTTTTATTGGCGCGTGAGTCCAATCTATTGTTTACTGTCCTTCCTAAGGCCGATAAGATATCTCAAGGATCGCTCAAATGCGTGCCTTATCGGAGTGCCCCAAAAAAAATGTGATGTATAAATATGGATAACCACTTACCTTCTTGCTAGAGTGCTGATAGTAGCGCCGCGGATGCAGGGCACACATATATCTATCGACGGCCATGCAAACAAGGATAACAGCGCTCTGCTGGGAAAGTGCGCCGCGGAGCAGAGCCTGGAAAAAGGAAAAAGAGCTTGAGCTGTCCGTTTTGGAATTTTATTATTTATCTAAATTATTTATACGAGTAATATTTTTCTCTATACGTATTTTTCATGATTTTTCTATTGGTATGAACAACTTTTTAATTACATTTTTTAGAGAAACTAATATGAAGGAATTGCAGGAATTCAGATTGAAAATGTATATAAAAAATAAATTGCAAAAAAATATAGAAAATAGGTTGGTTTAATCCTGAAACAATTTAAATTTGTAACAATTGCTTTTACAATTTATCACACTTCATTGTCCTGCTTTGGTCAATGGAGTTAGCGACAAACATAGTGTTAAACGACAAATTAACGCATTTCCGGAGCCGGATCCACCTGTTGGCCACATCCACTTACCTGTATCTGACAAAAGATCTCTCCGTATGGCCAACAATGAAACAATGCTGGCATTAGGCCAAATGGTGTAATTAACAGGCCGATTGTTAGGTCATTCAGGGCCAGGGAGGTGAGCAGATAACGTGGCTGTCAAAGTACAAATGCGATTGTTTAGCTTTTAGACGTATACAGCAAGTACCTGGGATCCACTTACCTGTTGATGAATATAGGCGGCATAGCGGCGATTGTTAATGACGAAGATGACCAGACAGTTGGCCCCAATGACCCCGAGGGTCAAAACCAGGATGAGAACCGCTTCGATGGTCTCCGCGATTCCAATGTGAGCGATGAAGTTGTGGCCCGAGTAGCGCGGATGCGAGCAGCTAGAGTTTTTAACGGCGGGCGCTACCAGAAGTGAGCCAGTCTTCAGATCCATAGTTGAGCTGAAAAGGGACAAACAAAATACTAAGTCAAGGATCAACAAAATATTAAGCTAATTAATTAGAAGTCCTATAAAAATTAAATACCCTTTCTTACTGTGTGTCTGTGTGGGACAAAAGAAAAGGCCATGAGGCCGTTAGTGGGATTTAGATTGTCTATTTTTGCTTTTTGGGCCATTTTGCCGTCCGACCACAAAAAGCCCCACGAGCAGTTTCTTTCGTAGATGCTTTCCGTTTCCGTTTCCGCTTTCGCAGAAGAGGGCGAGGGACCGAGAAAGGAATGCAAAATGTCGACGATTTGTTACGCCATAATCAAGTCAAAGCATGTGAAAGCGATTCCGCGTTGACGATTTATCAGCCGCCGCGGCGTAGAGGGAATTGTTCTAGGGACCTACATAGAACAGGATGATGAGTCCTTGCCGGCGAAACCGCAATCCTGTCACTGTACAAAGAGACACTATACGCTAAAACAATGGCACAACAATGGGCCCAATATGGCGGCACATCCGGTTGACGTCGTTGTCGTCTCCTCGCCGAAAATAGCAGTCTGACATAATGAAAGTTAACAGAATAATTGGATGAGACGGGGTGCGCAACAATTCTCCGTCCGTCGGCATTGTTCGCGATAAATCAAAATACTCCGGCTCTGGCTACGGCTCGTACTCCGGTTCTATTTGCAAAAACCCCGACAACCTCCCGGCGGTTGATAGCTCTATTAAACGAACCGTCTGCAAATGTGAATCTATACCTCGGTGTTTTTTGCCTGACACTGAAAAATGTCTTGTGCTAGGAGACAGCTTTAAAAAGACTTCTGTCTGTCTATCTGTCCATCTGTCCGTTTGTCTATTTGTATCATTTGTTTGTTGTCGCATCTCTTATTAAGTTTTGCCACGCATATACATATAGCCGAGATCCCGTAGTTCCGGGGGGCCTTGATTTATCGTTCCCCGTCTAAAGTCGCCAGAGAGTCGGTATGTCGGTCTGTCGGCAAGCCGCTGGGTTTTATGCTAAGTCCACAAATCACCGCATGATATATAACCGAACCAAACCGAACCGGAAAACATTAAGCTCACCCAATAGCCCCTAGACTAGATTTAGTACGCTAATATGGGGTCAGGGGATATACATATAGTTGCTTCCACGAACAGCCTTGCCCACTTTATAGTGGTAGCCCCTAGGTCCTGGCTGAACAGGTTTTTCATTAACAAAAGCGTTTGGCCAGCGGTGGCAATAAATCCCTAACTTTTGTCGAATCAATTAGAGACTGGTTAGTAACTGGGGTAGCCGGTTCCGCCTTTGCAGCTGCCATTCAGCCACACCGGCATGTGGGTGTCGTTGGATAAAAACCAATTTCAATTTCCAAGTAATGAAAAGAGGAAATTCGCTTAATTCCACGTATTGTTAAGTCGGGCGTAATCGAAGAGTAGCAACTGGAACTGCAACTGCAAAAACCGAAACACATGCACGAATGGCATAGAACAGATCCTGGCAGTGCCAACACATTGCCAGTCAGACAGAGGTCCTGATGAAAAAAGAAACTCCACACCGAAATGAACCGAAACCGAAGCGAATCCCGACGCAAATGCAAAACCGCGTAATTGTTTTAAAAATGCACAATGAAAATGGCAATAAACGGCAGGGCCAACTGGTAAATGGTAAACTGGGTAATGGGTAAAGCCGGCAAAATGGTAACAACCCGGTCACGGGGCAATGCCATTAAAATAAACGAAATTTTCATGCCAAATATTTTGGGACGTCAGGCACTAGGATGGGTAGCGAAACAGAGTCATCATCAGCATCAGTACAGTAGAGTAGATAGTACAGGAACTGTAAAACCGCAGACCTAGAGCTTGGGAGCTGGTGAGCCCAATTCGATGACAGTGGCAAAGACAAATGCAGAATAAATAATTTAGTTGCCGGATTAGAGAGCCGCAATCCGATTCTGAATTTACACTCAAGTAACAGCCATTAGAGGCGAAACTATTGCATATCATTAGGCGCCACCGCAACTTTGCATCGGATTGAATAAACTTTATGCAATCAAGCAGCCATTGTGCCACCCGGTTGCAAGTCTCCTGAGTTGGCTTAATCCACGCTCAGAATTATAGCAGTTTCTTGGCACTGGATTTTCGGGGCCAAGATTGGAAGGTAAACCAACGACCTCTAGATCTCAGCCTTTGGCTAATATTTTCTTTTCAGGACAGTGGATATCCCTCTCCGCAAAAAAGGGCAAACGAGTTCAGCTTTAAGGGAAAACAGGGCCAGGGAACCCCCAAAATTGTTGGACATAAAAAACAATGCCACAGAAGCAGAACACCAGAACGGACACAAGCTGCAGCTGGTACAGGAAGTGGAGAATGGAGAGGACACCGATTCCACATTCCCAGTGCGTTTTATCCTGCCAAAAGGATGTGTGTGTGTTCTGGTCCTCTGTGCGTGCGTGTTAATGCACGAAACCGTAACGTCAAATGGAAACACAAAAAAAAAAAAATCTTGAAAAAATAGAAGCCAGCCTGACGATGCATTTCATGCACATTTACACGCAAACCGTCGTGGGGAAAGTTGCATCAGCAAAGCTGCCGCTGCTTTGTTCTTAAGCCAACGCTGACAAGTCAAAATGAGTAAGTGTGAGTGTGGCAAGGACATTGCACATGCAAATTTGCGAGGAGGAGTATCCTTGTTTTTTTGCAACGTTTCCCAGAGCACTCTGGCTTATTTATAAGATTTGCTTTGAGGCCAATCGTTTCGCACATGGCTCCGAGCTGATTTCGTTTGACAAAAAGCTGCAACCCGTTGACTGATTGCCCACCCTCCATCCGGATGCATCCGTCGCTCTTGGCCAACATGATGATGGCAATCGCTTAAAGCGAAATTGTGGCCAAAGAAATTGTAAGCTGTAAATTGACTTGTTAGGGCCACAGCTGGCAAGATATTCAAAATATCTATTCACAAAGTGTCAAGACATTGTCAAACAATTTATTATTGAGTAAGCCCTGGAGCCAGTCACCTGAAGATTCGTTAATTAAAAGCCAGAAGATGTCACCTGAAGGATGTCGTGCACGTGAAGGCATCAATGTTGTTCAAAGAAAATGAATTACAACATGAAATGAAGCCGTCACCCTGTCTAATCCGACTGTTTCTTTGCTTAAAAATAATAAGTGATATGTTTGCCTCAAGTCAAGCTGCCGCCACGTTGCTTATGAAATATTTATGAATAATTTGTAGGGAAAACGAAGAGCTCTTCGCTCTGCAAACACAGAGCTTAATGTGCCATGCTTATTATGCAAATGAGTACATAATATACCCAATATATAATTTTCTTTATACTGCATTTTAATGCAGCAAAATTATCTCACATTATCGGCGTGCATAATAGCTATATGTGGGGCTTTTCAAAAATTATTTAATGCATACACAAATCAGTAGCGTATTAAATTATTGATTCATTTATAAAGCAAATAATGAACGATGGAAACCTTTATCAGGTGGTGGCTTTATTATTGGCATGCAAATTTCAGACACCCCGCCTGAAAAAGAAAACCCTATCATCGTTAAACTGAGAAACATTCACGTATTCGGGGCAGATACAAAAGTTTTCAACCCAAACTGTAAAAACGGAATTTAATAAATACGTGCAAGGCATTTGTAATTTTTATTCGAAAGCATAAGGCGTTCCGTGTTCCAAAAAAAAAGAAAGAAAAACCTAAAAAACTTCCCAAAATAATCACCCGCTTGGTTGCAATTAAAGAGCTCCCCGCAGCCATAAACTGAATCCCCAAAAGCACATTCAGACTTTATATATACCTTGTACATATATTCATATATATATATGTATGTATATATTGTACCTTAATATATGTGTTTTGGGTGTACGGCGGATACAACTTTTGCGTTTGGCATGCGTGGTCACGTACTGGGGAAAATGGCGTAAATGTTTTAAAAGTTGCATTAAACTTGTTATGAAGTATTTGCCCTGCAAAACGAAAGGAGGCATCCCCAGGATGCCTTTTCACCTAAACACTTATAAGAAATTGCAATGCATGTACGACTGTTGAAAGAAATTAGCAGAAAACATTTTCGAGTGCTAATTCCATGGGCTTATATGTGAAGAGAGGGTTCTCCCCAACACCCGTCTTATAATGTTTTAACCTTAAAGAAATGTTACGATAAGACACAAACGCAAAATACCCATTTATTTTTGGTATTAACTTCCAACTGCTTGTAGCTTTCTGAAATGAAATTTCCTTGATATAATTATTATTCCTGACGGGATGACGAGCTTGGCTTTGCCTGCATCTTGGCCTAGGAAAAACGTCAACCACAACGACATCATATTGCACAAAGTTATCTTTTGCTCTGGGCCATACCAGGCTCTTGTTAGTTTTTCAAGTACGAAATAAGCTGAGTTTCATGCTTCTGGCTTTTGGAAAATCCACCTGGCTGGCACACGAGGAAAAGCTCATTTGGTAAGTTTTCTCTTTAACCCAGGCCATGTAATTAAAGCCAGGCATTACGCTACCCCTTTTTCATTCCTCTGGCCAGAAATTTAAATAGAGAGATTATTAAACCCCCGGCTGAAAGTTGAAGTTAATTAATTGGGGAATCAAAAGTATTTTTCCCGTTTCACAACATTTTCATTATTATTTTCCACATTTGCGGAGCCAATATCATTAATTAAATCGAAGGACTTATTGCATGAAAGCTTGGATTTGATTGGTGACATCCTCGGGTTCTTTGCAAAGCCTTAAGAGTTGGCGGCACAAGGACCATATTTTAATTGCTGCTTAATTGGAAAATAATTAATGTGGAAAAATGCCTTAAAACCAGTGGCTTTTGTTTGATAAAACAATGCGAGTCCCTGCCCCATGCCAAACCATAACTTTAAATTACCATCTGGAAATGACCTAGACAGGGATCTGAAATGTATAATTTCCATTAATATTGCAAATGGCACTTTAGTTTCCTCTGCTCGGTGACTGATTTGATTTCGACTGACTAATTGGATAAGTAAGCCAGCCAATGGCAGCCAATCAATGTCAGAAATGCATATAAAATATATCATTAATTGCTGGGGAGCCCGGAAAAGGGTCGGTCCCTTAAATGCTGCCTCATTTACAGCGTTCGACATCATTTTTAATCCCGAAAAATGGCTGAAATGAAACTAATTAAGGGCAACACATGTTGAATTGGTCCGGGCATGATGAATGTCCGTCAGGATCATTACTCATTCGTACTGTAAAGTACATGAACTCCAGCCAAATGTCTCAGTTTAAATAGTTTAAATCTAAACATTAGTCGTTCAAATTCTTAAATGAAATTGTTACATAAATCATTTATTAATGCTGGCCATGTTGTTTCAATTATTTGCCTTAATTACTAAGGTTTGCCATGTGTGCGGATAAAATAAATAAATTCAGTTTGTAATCGGCTTTGGCTGGCGGACAGATAAACACAAAACATATGCTCATTAAGTTTTGAGCTCCCAGTAATGAGCATTTGGTTTTTGGTCAAAATCAAAGGACCAAAAGGCTTATAATGGGTGAGCCAGACATTTTGATAACGTTCAAGTGTCGTTGTCTGGCCAAATAGCCCTTAACCTTTCCGAATTTATTTATATTTATTCGAGGAATGCAATTTCACGTTTCATCGCATCGCCAGACTCTCGACATATTGGTTTCTGAAGTCCTGAGGCGAGTTGACAATTTCCACGTGACAGCCGCCATGTTGCCATAACTTTAAGCATAGACTTCCTTAAATATGTTTGGTAATTAAAAACCCAGCGTTCGTTCGTACTCCGCCTGAGTGGCTGGGGTTGTGTAAATTCTCGGCTCTTACATAATTAATAACTCTCGAATATTCATTGAAAGTCAATGCAATTCCGTTGCAGATCGGAGCCGAAACGAAACGCACCGAAATCGAATAAATTAAATGTCAACATATGTCGAGCTCTCTGAAGTTCGGTCACTTAATCACGTTGAGAAACTTCACAATTTTCCCTTCTTTTCATATTTTTTCATCCAAATGATGGATGAGCCCCGAACAATGGGCCTGAAAAGGCTTAATCCTTGCCTTTGGCGAATGAAAATATTTGTGTTTTACCGGATTTAGTATTCAGTGACAGACAAACCATAAATATTTGCACCGCACTGAATAATGAAATGACAGCAGGGCCGTGCCCGAACAACAAACCCCATATGTATAGGCATTTGGGCTTAAATGGCGGTAAAATACATACTATAAAGCCGCTGGACAAATGTCACCAGCGCCCCAGACCAAACAACAGGTTTAATTCGTGTAACTACGCTTAATTTGAAACTAAAACAAAGGCCCAAAAAAACCACCGCACAATAGGCATTAAAATAAATACAAACTCATTATGTGACTGAGGCCTGTTTCCGGTCTCAGGGGCGAAAATGTCCTCACTTAATACTCTTATTCAGGGGTATACTTTTTAAGGCATTATGTTAGTTGTTTAAATACAAAATGTTTTTTTATATATTGTATAATACTCTTTTTTTTAGCTCTATATTGGCTTTAACTTTGTGGAAACACAAACAACAAAACCAATAATTTTAACAGAAGGCACATTGCAAAATCGAGAAAATGCAATGGCCATTAGTAACTTGGTCTTTTTTGGCCGTTATAGGATGCAGCTGTGTAGTTTAGTGTTTTTTTCCAGTTTCGGCCAAATTGACATGCGGCGAAACCGGCTTTTAATGAAGCCTGCATCTTGGTTATGCCATCGACCGAGGACTAAAAGCCAGCGTGTAGCAAAGATTAATTACCAATGTCGTTCCTTTTGCATCTTAACCTAAGCGATCTAATTGGAAGCGTTTGCCCAGCATTTTTAGAAAACCAATTAATCACTACAACAGTTTAGTTGCTTGCATTAAATTTAATTGAGAAATAAAACAAATTATTGCTTGGTTCCAAACTTTCGGCGGAATCTCTGAATAACAATCATATTGAAATCGGTTCCCAATGTCATGTGGATTTCGCCGATATTAGATCGAATACGCATAAAGGTAATATCATTGGATGGATCCAGATCCCTGACCACATTCCGGGCCATAAATAGCAGCGGTTTCAGGTTGCTGACATACATGATAGTGCGCTTCTGGGAGGAGGTGGAACGCAGAGGCGACCCCTGGGCATCCATAATTATAATGTCACGGCCCCCGCGATGGGCGAAGAGTTGAACGAAAGCATCGTCATCGTAGGACCGGTCTCGACTGTCGGGATAAACACTTTTTAAGCTGAATGTGGTTTTGCGTTACAATACTCACGGCGGTGCCTTTTTGGAGACCACTGCTTTTGAGGGTCTTGACGAGGGCCGCTCCGCCACCGACATACGTGACATTCTCGACATGTTTTTTATTAATGTTAGCTTGACCTTCACTGAACTAAATCGAGTTATATAATTGTGTGCAGTAACGAATTTCTACAATATATTTTATCCACTAAAGTTGAAAAAGAACTCAAAGCATACTAAAGGACAAAACAAATACAAAATACTTTCTAGATCTTTTATAATATATTCAATATTTACATTTTTCAAGTAAAAATACTCATATTTACATAACAATTTGACTATATATTTACTAATTTTACTAACACATATACATATATTCGGATTTAATTTGATGGAATACGAGTACGCAAGTATCGCAGTACCGCCGCTGTTCCCATTGAAAGGATCTGGTGACGTGGTTGTCGGAAAGGATTGCCCCACAGCTCCAGCTCTTGAAGATTTCTCAGATTACCCAGAGTAGGGGGCACCGTTTGCAGATCATTGTTCATTAAATTTAATTTAATGAGCTGCTTCATGCCGCCCAGACCCAAGTCCGAGGCGTCGATTTCCTTGATCTTATTGTCCTGGGCCAAGAGGGTCTCTAGGCACTCCAGCTCATAGATGCAGCGTGGAAGTTGTTTGAAGCGATTGTAGGATATATCAAGATGATTCAAAAGCTGGAGACCGGCTAGTTCCATCGGCAACTCACACAGCAGATTGCACGATAGGTCCAGGATGGATAGTATCGAAAACTGCGAGATATAAGTGGGCACATAAGATATTTCGTTTTTGGCCACGTCCAGTTCGTATAGTAGTTCGCTCAACATTGTGAGATTTCTGGGCAGCTCCATCAAATGGTTACCGTCCAGACGGACAATATTTACTTGCTCCTGGCGGGCCAGTTCAAAGACCTCCATAGGTACTTCGGTTATTTGGGCACGTGACACCTTCAGGATGCGTGTATTCCGAAGAACATACTTATCCGGAAAGGGCGACGGAACTTCCACAGAGTCATCATTGCCGCCCTGCTTGCGGGGGCTATTTAATCCGTCTCCGACCAAAGTCATTGCAAAAGTTCTTATTAAAGTCTTTGATATGGGGTTTAAGGAATAAATATTATGGAAATATAAATAACTCACTTGATTTTGGCAAAAATAATTATTGTATAGCTTTATATGCTGACCCAATACGGGGAAATTTTATACTGAAGTATCTTATTGTGATAACCTTCTAAAGTGAAAGTGTTAGGCAAGGTTACTTTGTTAGCCATTTAAAGTTGACATTTTAAAGTTGACCAAAATAATTGTGTAATAAAGCCCATTATAATAAATGCCTGATTTTAGACTTTAAATAATTTATTTTATGATTCGCTTGAGCTAACCAAATTAGTGTTCAATGATTTTAGTTACATATTAGATTAGAAAATTAATTTGGGACTAGTTCATAGAACGCCACAGTCGGTCAGTGTAATCATGTTGTGCTTCATGGGCAGGTGTCCGATAGCCTCCTGAATTTTGTCGAGTATCTGCAGGCCCTTCCGCACCTTCCCGAAGGCTATCCTCCGTCCATTGAGAATGGAGAGTGGCTTGAAGCTGATGGTAAAGTTGATCGCAGAACGGGGAGCGCCGCGCACATATCGACTGGGGAAGGAGAGTATGCCGGCGTCCACGCCATGGTTCAACACCTCGAAGTCGTGCTCGATGTTGTTCAGATCCATGTTCCTGTCCGGGTCCATTGCTATCTGACCCTCTAGCCAAATGGGGGCCAGTGCCCGGGAGAAGCAGATAGCACGATTCCGGTGCTGGGTGCAGATCCTCATGAACTCAAGCACCACCTGCGGACAGGCCTCGGTGAACAGCTGAATGCATAGGCGTCCCTGGAGGCGACTCTCCGGCACCTCGAGGTCCAGATATATCTGGGGACGGAGCAGCTTGCAAAGGTTGCCCACATCGCACTTATCGATCAGGCTCTCGTAGCGATGTAGCACATGGAGCGGAATTTCGTAGCTGAATGGCCCGCTGTTCGGCTTGTAGCGTAGCGATTTCCCGGCCTGGGGATCGAACAGCTGGCCACCCTTATGGAACTGCTTGTTGGCCTCCAGTTGGCGGCGTTCCTTTTCCCGGGCCAGGCAGACGTTGCGCCATCTTCCGGCGGCCAGGCGTTCCGGCGACTTGGTGAACGTCCTAAGGTTGTTGTTGCTCTTCTTGTAGAGAGCGGTCAGCATCTCCATGTAGGAAAGCTCCATGCCATTGCCCTCGATCTTGATCTTCGGCGGCGGCAAGCAGGTGTTGACCTTGCCCTTGATATTCGACATCCGGTCACGGTGCTGGCGGTACAGTTCCCGCTGCTCGTTCATCACTATGTGGGACCGGATCTTGGGCATCCGGGCCATGGGCACGGGTATCAATCGCTGGTGGTGGCGATAGTTGTTCTGCAGCGTCTCCTTTTTGACGTTGAAGGTGTGCCGGGGGGCGGGCTCCTCCACCTGACCATCCAATCCCACCAGATTAGGATTGTGACTATTGTAAACCGGATTGGTCATCGTGTAGGGACCCCGCTTGATGGCCGCCACATAGGGAGTCATGGAGCTGGGGATCTGCGGTATCTTTCCACGACCGGAGCGTGGTGCATCGCCTCGGATAAACATTGTCGTATATTAATGACTAACACTTAAATTTAAATTTAATAATTGTGGTATACTCCACAAATGTGTCGGGTTGGAAAATGTGTGGTTCTATAAACTCGGTAGGGGAATGTGAATTAACTGCCAATGGTTGCCTGGATGTGAACTTTTTTCCAAAAGTCATTTTTTTCCAAAGCCTGCCGTTTATATTGTCCCAAAAGTTAGTCTCATCAGGAATTCCGGAAACCATAATAATTATCTGCCTAATGCTAATTTCATTAACTGACACAAACCGTAAAAACAAAAATGCCACACAAAATGCCCGGGTTCATGTCCTTTGATGTGGAAAACTGAATGAAATTGCGCTTTTTCTTCATAAATCATTTATTTGTTATATTTCACAAGGGCCCATAAAAAAGGCCAACTTCAATTTAAATAATTTCCAGAAATTAACACTGCGGTGTTCTGATTTAATTAAAAAACAGAAATACTCATTCCATTTTAGAAAAAAAGAATTCTACTCGTCTAATTGTGTTTCGGTAGTAAATAAAAAATATTTACAAATGATTGTCGCCATAATTTATTATTATATAAGGGTAGATCCAACCCACTCTTGGAAGCAAAAAATGAGCAACCGCAGAATGCAAGGCTTATATGTATATCCGCCAATAAGGTTTTTGTGCTTTTGACATATTTTTGCTGACTGTTCCGGGGTTTTTGTCCGCCCTTTTCCATTAAATCGAGCATAAAATAGTTCTGTGTTTTTGTGTTGAATTTACCATTCAATTGGTATTTTTGCAAAACCACTGAACTGTTCCTAAAAATGGACAATTAGCGGTTGTAACATTTGAATAATTGTGTCAAATAGCTAACATTTTGTAAAGCTTTCGCGAATTCAATGGAATGAATAGTAAGTTATTTGCTAATTTGCACATGATTTTGTTGAATTTTATATTAAAAATATTGTTATAGAGAAATCTGTCTCAAATCGGATTAAGTCATATTAATGGCATATGGTATCCGTTTATTTATGAAGGCGTAAAAAACTATCCGATTTGCATTAATTGATTGTTAATATGGTTGGGATTTCGTGGTCACAATTAAATGATTAATGCGATTGTGTGGAGGCTATATTCACATACAGACTATGATCCCAATAGCTGAGCATGAATTAAGGATAAATGCGCTATAAATGGGCTATATATACGGGTTATGTATAGGGACTTACAAACATAATCTGATGCGTTAATGTCCTCCACTCAGCCGATTATGAGGACATCAACTGAAGGGCATCCCTCGTCCTGGTAAAGTGTCATTAGGGCAACGCTCTTATCGCCGAACAATCAACGTCAACGCCAGTGGGTGGTGGGGCGGCGTGGTGGTTGGCTGACTTTACTTGATAGACATTGAACCACTTAAGCGTTTTTTTGTTCTCAAGTGTCACAATCACACCCACCACACAGAGGGAGTGAGGGAATAAGAGATGCATCAGTACTCACATCATCCAACCACTCTAACATTCTCATGGCCTTCAAGCTTTCACCTCTTTCACCACTTTCGCAGCCACCACCTGTGTCAAGTGCCGTATTTTGCGTACTTTCTCTATTATCATGCTCTCGGTGGCATGTTCACATTTCATATTCATATTTCCCGGGCACATCTTAAAAAATGTGTCAACAATAAACCCGTACACATGCGGACAAGTGACTGCAATTCGATCAAATACATGCTCAATGGATGCGAGAAATTTTATTTATTTTGCGGTCCAAGTGGGGAATATGGAAAACATGCTTGGCATCTTCAATTTCAGACTTTTCAATTTGAAGTTTCTATCTGCTTGAACTCAAAGCTATTGACCTTGTGCCCCCTCACTATTGTCTCAATATATTCTGAACTGTTTCCATTTTTTTTATGGCCAGAAAACAGAAGACGCAAAGACATGGCTTAAGAGCATAATGGATCATAAATGCTTCGGTTGCCAAAATGTGATTTTATTTTGTCTGTCCTGACGCGTCCCTTGCCGCCATTATTTCGGCATCTGGCTTATGGAACCTGTCTTATTGCTGTCCCAGCTTTAAGCTTAAATATATACATTTTTTTTGTATTATACACTCATGTAAGTATGTATATTTTTTTATGACACATTGTGGCTCCCATGGACAGGGGCACTTTGGGTTTATCATATTTTCTTCGAGCCGTAATGCACAGGGAAAAGGCAGACAGAAAGTAATGGCCCTCGAGATTTTTGGTAAGACAGCAGAAGAAATCATGCAAATCGAAATGTGGAATTATTTAAGCAGAGATTTTCCAAGCCAAGAGCTCAAGACAGAGTCAGGACTTCTTTCGGGCCATTTAATCAGCTCTAATTGGCTCATTGCCTGCCGCGCCCTGGCTTAAATGCCATCAATTTTGGTCGCATGTCGCCTTGGTCGACACTCGTTGAGTGTCTAAATTGGTTAAGCCCCAAAGCCATCAGTTAATTAATGCCATTAATGTCTTAGCAGTGGCTCCCGAAACCAGTAATTAACCGAGTTGACAAATCAAGTTTGGCCCTCAGAGGGGATACGATGCAGGAATATAAAGGATTATATCAGTTGGCAAGGAGGCTTAATTAACAATAAGCTAAGGTGTTAATAGCCCGACGACAAGAAACCCAAAACTTGGAGGCTGCTCCCCAAAATGTCGCCCTAAAAATATTTAATCTAATTCCAAAACGGGAGAATGGAAGAAGTGAACCGTAGCCAGGTGGTGGGCTACCAGTCGACCCCCACACACATTTAAAAACGATTTCAAAGGTTTAGGAGCCGTCCTTGCTGCTGCTTTCGTCCTTTTTGGGAAACCAAATGGCTTACCTTTTAGGCCCAAATCAGCGGAGACATGAAAGATGGCAAAGGTAGATGTCGAAAAGCTGTCGTGCCAAAGATGAAGATACTTAGATACAATTTTAAGTATCCATGTAATCCTTAAACAATTTATTAGGCAAACAAGCCCTCAAAACTGAGTCAAGTAATTAGGTTAATGTGTCGAAGGAATTCAAAGTTAATCTTTAAGAAATAATTTACGTATTTAATTTTCGTGAAAGTCACTTGGAAAGAGATTCAAAACTGACAAACCTGAAGTTTCAGGTAACTCCAGCGTTAATTAAATTTTGCGAAAGACTCCCCCATAAACTTTCTTTGGGGCTTTTGGCCAGGTTCGGGCCAGGACCATTTAAAAGCTGACTTGGGGGTAAAATGCATAAACGCAAGCGTACATTTTCGGGGCTTCCATCATGCAGGCTGTATGCAAACATGTGGAGCCTGAGCCTTTGCCACCATCTGGCAGCAAATTCATCGAGGCGGGGGGCAAGTTGTGAGTGTTCCTGAGACACTCACAAAGGCGCTTGTGTGCGCCAACACAGTGTGCTCCTCCGGAGTGGGGAAAGTGGTAAAAGCGGAGCTTACAACAGCCACAGAGTTGGCTCTGAAAAGCCATTTATCAAGACATTGCATAACAATGGGACCGTGTGCAACCCATAAAGGATATTCAAAACGAGTTAAGCTTTATGATTTGAACACGTGTTAACAACATAAAAAGCAAGCAGTAGAGCCGGCAACTCTTTTTGCCAAAAGCAGAAGCAAACGAATTCCATAGGGGCAGCCAAGAGGGTAAATAACATGGAATTGCACATTGATTTGGTGAACCAGAAGTAATTGAATCGTTCTCGGTCGGGCCCTCCGGCTGGGGGGACCCCAGCTAAGAAGCGTAAAATAAATACATTTTCTAGCTACCTTTCAAAGCAAACGCTCAACTAGCTGCAAAGATAATAAACACTGCATCATCCGACAAACATTATAACTTTTGAATGGTAAAAATATTGCCGCTAGGCATGCGCATGAATGCAACCCACAAATTGCCAGGACCAAGGACCATAAATTAAAAGTCAAAGCAAAGGACCTACTACAGCCAGGGAGCGGAAAATTTAGCCAAGTTTGCTCATGAGCACAAAAAAGGTGGAAGTAACTAAAAAGATGAGAGATTAACTAAAAAGTAAGAGATTAGAATGGAGACTAGAAATATTATAACAATTATTTATATTTTCTCAGGATAGGGTTTTAAAAACTTCCGCATCGTACTCCACTATTAAAGGGATATAATTTCCTGCAGCCTGTTGCGCACATCCCCTTGCAGGAAAATAATATACCCGGGCCGGCAAGGAGTACCGAGTAAAAAAAGATATCAGCCATCACAAACAACCCCATGAAAAGTCAAGTGCATGAAAAGCAAAGAAAAGCAAATGGAAGGATCGGGCCACAAAGCAGCTGTAAAATAGTTTTAATATCCGCTGGCAAGTTTCATTGTGTGTTTGTCGTTGCCGTAGCCTTTCCCTCGTATGCCCCACTCATTTCTTAAGCTTTTCCAGTTTTCCATACCATACCACACAGTTTTCTTGCCTCTTCCCCAGTTTGTCACCTGTTTCTGTTGCGGCAGTTGCAACTGCCAGCTGTGTGATTGCACATTCATAACATATCCTATCGGCCCCGACAGCTCTATATGCACTATTCCAGCATACTGGGAAAAAGCCCATCAATGGAGGCACATTCGTCCTATTTGGCTGCAGGAAATTTGAACAAGTTCAGGGTGGAATCAAAGTGCCGACACAAACATGAATATGTCTCTATCAGAATGTCTCTGTCACTGAATAAACTATGACTTATTTATACACACTATGCACTCGAATATCAACTGGGAAAGTTGTCGTTTTTGGGCCTTAGTAAATAAACATTTGGTATCCTGGCTTAAGTGTTTCCCACGAGGTGGGAACCATGGCGTGTACTCGAATTTGGCTCTCCACAAAATCACAACTCTCGAACTGCCGCAGTTATTATTTTGGCCAGACAATTAAGCAGCACATTTTGCATACGTGACTTGGCCAAAATATCAGAGTCACACACGCCGGCACTAATGATGTGGCCAAGTTGGTGGCCCTCAAATGGCCCCAAATGTGCGCAAAGTTGTTACAAGAGCTTCAATAAACATGGGAAATGGGTAATTTTTTCCATAAAAGATATGTACATCCGACAGTTTTATTTTACGTAAAATATTAAAGGATAATTAAACGAAAAGAAATTAAGGTTTAAAAGCTTTTTAAGACTTCTCATGAAAA